ACACGTGACAGCACGCCACGGGTACATGACGTACTTAATTAAAAAGGGGGTGGGAATAAATGAGAAAGGGGGGACAAAAGAGAGGCAGTTCGTGTCACACCAGAATAATAAAACAGCTAGATGGCTGTGATGGACCATAATATGTTCTTTAGTGGAGAGAAGTAAGCGCCATAAAAATCACCCATAAAAGTTTTAGAAAGCCTATTATTCGGTATCATTGAGTTGGACTACGAAAGCGAGCCCCCCAATTGCCACGTTGTAAATTATGAACACTGTAGCTGGAGAGATGTTAGGACGTTTCACTAACCCAAGCAGAATAAGGATTTGGATCCAATAAGTAGTATGAAATACGGTTACCTGAGATGCACTCCGAGACTGCGATGCTTTCCAGAGCACTCCAAGCATATCCAGATGCCGTAAGTAACACTGGCCCACTGTGGATTCGGAGCCCCACACTCAAAGCAGAACTATATTAGGGAGTCCAAGTTATCATTGCATCCATATTAATCGAACAGTTCTACTGCAGCTTTAGGTTTTAACAGGATCAGCTAGTACATGAAGTCATAAAAGGAAAGGTTCAAATCCGTCCACGATAAACACATATTTCCTGCATACAAAATCACATAAAACAAAGTGGCGTAAGTGAGAGATTTTCAGCCACAAAATTCCGAAAATGATGGACAGACAGTTCGTCCACGTCACATTAAGTACGCTTCAATAACCTAATGGGTATACTTTTAACAAAACTGTATGCCCCACAAGCAATCACATAAAGGACCGGAAACAAATCAAATTCTGGTGGGAAACTAACATTATTTTCGTCTCTGCGACGAACTTCGGCCAAGGCGTGGCGTGTCCTCGGACTGGCCATCTTCAGAGGCGTAAACGCGGAGAGGAACACGTGCGGCCTTGACACTTAACTTTAACTTTGCTAAACTTAATCTTCACAGTATGATAGCTTTTAATAACGGGTTCGAAGGTGATTATCTACGCATATAGCATTGTCGTATTTTATGACTGCATTTGTTTTACAGAAACATCCCAATATTTTAAGTTTACTTATCTGGATTTGTTTTCTGTCATAATATTTCTTCTATCATATCCTGCTATATAAAGCGCTTTGTGTGCAGTGAAATTATTAAGTAGATTTGTACTGTTATAGCTACAGAATTCATCATGTGATAACTTTTGGGATTAGCAATCACTCTATAACTACTCTGTGGCTTTGGGTGTAGAGCAAGACTCACAGGTCCCCTCTTCCCTATTCCTAGTGCTCTTAGAACAACCGGGTTGATTTAATTTTGACATATTCATTAGGGGAAAATAAATTGGGAGAACAAGTACAAAGTTTAGGGAGGGGAGGAACCGCAATCGCGCTCAGGCTTAGGAGACCACGACTCTGTCATCAGATTCAAATTGTAACCTCACCTCCTCCTTGGAAGGTACATTAAAGCAACATAAGTATTACATTGGGCTTTTAAAGCACCCCCAATGTTCGGTGGTAGTTTTCTACATGGAACAGCATGGCAAAATTTGCATTGGCGAAAATCATTCTAATGTCATCTAACTTTACCCCAATTTATACCCGATTGTTGGAATTGCATATGCTTTAATGTGCTGAAAGAATAGCATGCATATGATGTGCTCTCCTGTATAAATTTATGTTTAACTGCTTTAGCTCTTTGATCGCCGCAGATTGTGCTGTGCTCCGGCCACAACCAAGGTCTTTTATCTCCTCTGTGCTTTACTAGTGAATCATTTTTAAGACTGGTGTGACTTCTTTGGAATTCATGAAAGGTTCATGGTGTCACAGCAGTGAATGAAATTTCACATAATCTTGGTAATTTCAGAAAATTAGTGTTGCGCGTTCTGCTTCAATCTGCTGGTTTCCTAAAAAACACTGGTCTAACTACCACTTTTTTTGCTCCGCGCCATCTGAGTCTTTTTTGGAATTGCGATCGGTTAAAGCAGTATGGAATACTTATCCATTTGGTGCAGAGGTATTTGGAAGCATAACAAAAGGTTGTGCAAGCAGGATTCAATAGAACTAAGTACACATGTACATGAGATATCAAATCTATGCAATTCTTTTGCTTCACTAAATTCATCTTGGATTTATTAGTTGTGTATTTAATTGGAACGGTTTCACCTTTTATTCGTAAATAGTGGCCAGAGTGACCTACTTTACTCAAAGTTTTCACCCGCTTAATAGGCAAGTCTCTCTTAATATCATCGTGATTTTCTTAAAGTATACTCTCAAATTCCAGAAGCAATTGCACAAACCAACTCGCCTACCTAGTACAAGTACTCGTAAGGTGTTCATTTACTAAGTCGTCGGTGTGTAGCGTCTCAGAACTTCCCTGAAGACTAAAGGAGACGTAATACTGAGGCAGAATATGTACAATCGGTATACAGAAGGTACTAGGGCTTCTGGCATAGCCCACCCAGTGTGGTACAATAACCAAGACAGAAGCTGCTCTTCACCAAAACTGAATGTTAAACAATCAGCGTGTTATACGGTGCATCAATGTACTAAGTTTTGAGTTCAAGACATCGAAGTTAATTCATTTTATGCCTTTTCCGATCCACGAAAATAACCCAACACCTCGATTTATAAAGTAACTATAATCCGATTGTTCCGTTTTATTCTGCTTAAGGTCAATGGATATACGTAGAAGCCAAACGCCTGCTTGAATGTTCCTGGTTTTGCCTCGTAGTCGTTCATACATGATCTTTATGTGGTAAAATTCAAATTCATTCATTAGCCATCGGCCAATACACCTACAAACATACTGTCCACTCACAACCAACCTAAATTTGGCAGGTCACATGTTACCGCTCCACCTGATTGGCTGCTGATCGCAGAAGAGTAGGCGTCCACACATCTACACCGCCCTTGGCCACTCCCAAAAATGACGACTTCGGTGGTAGAGAATCGCACCGCAATTGCCGAGCGTTTTGACAAAGTTAAGGGCATAAGTTACAGACTTAAACATTACCGGACTAAAATCGCATTCGAAATCGCCGAACGCCTCAACCATCGACAGTCCGACTCCCAGACGAAGGGCAAACTAACTCTTTTGGCCAAGTCTAAGGCAATGAAGGAATCGGAACTGGAACCAGCGGAATCTGGCATGTCATTTAGTGGACGAAGAGCACTGTCCGCAGCAATTTATAAATCCATAAGGAAACAGAGGAGTACGCCGAGCGAATATGCGGTGACCGATGCTGCCAATTCTCTAGTTCATACTGGAGGTGCGACACAGATGTAACGTCCTCAAAGGGAAAAGCATTGCTGCAGGCCTAATCTTTTTAAAATCATTTAACTTTTATGAGCGATTTCTTTGTATACAAGATGTTGGTTTTGAATTGAAGATTCTGTGACAATTTGTCCTTCAATTGTAGTATGGTTTCCTAGATGGCATCAAGTGCTAGCATTCATATGACATGCAGATGAGTCAAGACAGCGAACAAAGTTATTTCTGAGCTCTAAAAATGTAAACGACACTGTAGTCAACTTTTTTTCAAATTTGCTGCATATAAGTAAGAAACATTTCAAAATGAATTTTTTTCCTCCGATAAAGGCGAAAAATTATGACATGCAATCATAAAGTAAGTAGAAAAGCTCTGGCAAATTTTGACAAATTTGTGTACTTTCGTGGTTGAAATACCAATTCACTGCACGTTTCACTAGCGTGACATATTAGTGACACGTGTTCTTCACCAAGTTGCGGTGGCTGCATCAAATGGTGTTGCAAATGGGCTAACTGAGTTTAGAGTAACGAAGGGTGGTTGTATTTCTCCTTGATTTCTTGACGGCGTTTAAACTGCCCAGATGGTTACTGAAAGCGTTAGGATTACAATAGAATGATGAAACCTCTGAGTGTCTGCATCTGCTTTTTATCTGAGGATTAATAGTACAAGTTTCAGGAAAATTCACCCCACCTCGTTAAACGTTAATGGAAAATGGGATGTAAAACTCAGTGCACCTCTACTGCGGCATTGCCTGACAGATAGGCGCTTATTTGAATACTTTGTTCACCCTTACACAGATGATGTGAAGGAGAAAATTTTTACCAAGTGCAGTCGGTCGCCACCCTATGGCACTTATGTCTCATTCATTTTGTGCGTGGATAGTCCGGGTCGTCAATCTCTTGCTGTGTAACTCAATCACTGAATTAGGCTTTCGCGCATAACTTCCTTTGGGACTAACAAGCACAACTTGAACCAACTCCTTCAGAGAAAATTTTACCCTCTTCCTAATTATTCTTTTTGAATCTGATCTCCCTGATTTTAATTCATCTGGAAAAGGTCTGCAAAAATTTGGTTTTAATGAATAAGGCCAAAATTTGTGTTGGTGAGTGTCAAACTCAAAAGTGGGGTTTTAATACTTTATTAAGAGTTCGAATCCAGATTATTTTGTCTAAAAGATCTTGATACTTCCACAAGACTTTAAAACGCAATCGTCCATCCTCATTGGCTCTTCAAAAGGGGGCCGTAGGGATTAGGTTACTAAATAAAATTTGAAGCTGTTAGCTAGGAGTAGGTATACTAGGAAGTCTAAAAGGACAGTTGAGTCTCTTTTGCAGATCTCAGTCGTCGCTATGACAAGCGATTTCGTCATTCAAAGGCTAACTTGCCTGATATGCATTCTCATTTCTAGTCTCGTGCACACATTACCTACTTAAATTTGATAGTAAAAATTATTTCATAGAATTACTCAAATGCTGATTTAGGGGATTAATTTTTTCCATCACAAGTGTTTGCACAATAACTTTACTTCAATTGAAGACAGGAGATGAGCTGATGCTATCATTATTTTGGTTATAGCAACCAAAGCAAACCATGCATTTTACTGCTGTCCGTCTCGGTAGTTGACGTCCTTTTGAGGAGCTGGCATTAGATCCAAAATTTTGTTTCCGAAAATGACATTTTATCAAATTTTGGATTTTGCGTGCATAATACTTGAGTCAATTAGTATAATTTTGCAACAAAATAAATTGCGAATACATTTTCTACTATCTTTAAAAGTCATTACTCAGTGCGCAGATTTTGGCTAAGAGGTTATGGTTTAAGCAAGTTTTATTGCAGTCTAACGTTTTATGACCATGTGAGGACTTAACTGCGAAGAAATCGGTAAAAAGACCGACTGTTTTTAGCTTCAAAATAACTGTTTATAGTGGGATCAAGATGTTGTGACAGTTACCTGACTTTTGCGAATATTAGTAAGGCCTGAAAGAAAATTATTTTCGCAATTAGTTCCATCAATTTTAGCTACTTGAGAGCAGCCAAACTGATCACATTAAATATACTGCTCCATGATTCTTTCCAGGGATAGTTGCCATTTATTGACTGTTACTACTTATTAACTGCCTCCAGAAGGGCTAGGAGACTATCGACGCAGTCGCAGAGACAATGCAGGGTCGAGCAGAGGTACAATCAAAACAGTCAGGATAGTTAAGTACAGTACCAAGTAAATATGGCTGTTTTACATTCTTTTTTATGGAATTCTTATTGGCATACAGGATAGACGTGTCCTAAAGCATCGTTCAGCCCCAGCAGCACTTCCGCAATTGATCCCCCTTGAGCTTTCGCCTAGCAGAGAACGCAATACTCTGGATTCCTAGCTAACTTTACTGTAGCCGCTATTCTCAAGTCAAGTAAGAGGTTCCTCGCCGTGATGTAAGTTCGTCATGCTATTTGTTTCCCTCTCGCGTTTGACCGAAATTCTTGAGAGGACAGAAATGAAAGCTGGAAGGATTAAAGACGACACTCGCATAAAGAAGAGAATCGTGTGTTAAAAATTGTTTGTATTAACTGCAGACCCTGCAATCTTTAAAGTTTTGGTCACGATCTTGATGCCATGGTGTCTTGTCCATACCTATAGCCCCTTATCTCTTTTATATTGTTAATAAATTTCATAATTGTGTGCCCCACTGTCTCCGAATACAAGAAACAACGCTTAATTCTTGTAGAAATGACTTTGTTTTTGTAGCAGTGAACTAAAACTCAACAGAATAATTGGTATAACATTTTAAAACTTTTTTTAAAAATAAAGCATCTACGCTGATGTGGGGCACAGTCGTGTGGGGAACCGGAAGGGACTGCAGGGGATGTCGGACAGTGCGGAAGCATCCCATGGCAATGGGAGGTGACGGTTGTATCTAAAGTGGAACCCACCAAATAATATTAGGCAAATAAAAGGCACATCAACTAACGATACTTTTGCGATCGTGTTTAAGGCTTAATTCCTTGTCACAGAGGCTGACTTTCACCACATGCATTTGGTCTATGCAAAAGTCGTCTTTTGAAAGGATGAGAACACGCCTTAATCTTCGAAAAACACAGTATTCCATTTGATTGTGCTTAAGCACTGAAGGCTATTCTATCAACTTCATCTTTGACGTTTCCATAAGGTCTGGCCTCCAAAATTGTCAAGACAGGTGAACTGTCAAAGTAAACGGTGAAAAAACTTTTCCCTGCAATACAGTCATCAGCCAGGCAGTTACCTCAAACCATCTTCACTGTTAGTTAATTGCCGGCCAAATAAGGGTAAATAGTGGGGGTTATGTCACTTTATCAGAGTGTCATTACCTAAAGGATAGCTGGCCACCCTGTCTGTTGCTGCATGATCACAGAGGTGAGAAATTAAGGCCAGTCTTTGCAGTATTTTCTCACTTAATTCTACACAATTCGTTGCTTTGTAGATTTTATCAGCAACGTCATTATCCAAGTGTTCTGATATGCATCAAAGTCAGGGCTTGGCAATAGCACCGTGCCACTTCCATTTGGCCCTTGGGCTCAACAGACTTGCAAAATAGCCTGTTTCGAGTCACATACTGGAATCAAATAATAATTTGACTTCTCCGCTATAATTTACTATTCACAATAAACTTAAAGATTATTTTTTTTAAGTGCGAAAACGCACTGCTTCTTGCAAAATCTGATGGAATTTACAATGAGGAGGATTCTTTAAAGTTGGTGCTCTCTAGGAAGATTACATGTGTTTTCCTTCTCGGTTAATATTTAGTAGTTGTTTATGTACATCCATTTTCTCATTCCCCATTTTATAAGTGAAAAAGATGTAGAATTGCATTGAATGGCCCACCCCATTCTTATCGCGGCGTCTTGACAATTGACAAGAGTTACTAGCTACAACCATCAGCATGGTAAGCACAGCTGCCCTCTTCACATTGCACTATAGCTGAGTAGAACCGAAGAAGGGAATCACTGAGTAGATTTACCTACTGTCAGTGTGCTCTGCAAAGCCGTGATTGCACACTGGTAAACTCATAAACCCAACCAGCAAAAATGTAGATGGTCATTTGTCCATGATTTTCCACATTTATATCACTTTTGCTTAACTCAACTCTATTGTTTTCCCCAATTAAAGCTGTTGCCCTTGGACAAGCGTTGCTCCAGAAGTTGCAGAACTCAAGTGTGCAGATGCACTGACGTTAATTTGAATGAACTCTAGACACCGCCACTCTACACGCAACGTTTACGTCCAAATTACATCTCTGTAAATAATAAATGCTTATTACTTAATTTGTTTGCGCTTAGAAAATACATCTTTATAGTTTAGGCGCTTGAGTTGGTTATAGGTGAGTGAGACGAGCTCTGCTTGTTTGTCGGAGCGCTTCGGTTTGTAGTGTCGATGTCTGGATTTGGTTAAGTGGCGACAAGGCGACAGCAGGTGCTAGCCCTACGACTGCCGAGAGCGTCCCACTTCGCTTACCTATACTATTAAAAGCTGAGGCGCATTGGTGGAAAATTTTTTGACTCCCAATTTTTCACCAGAGAAATATTACTAGCCACTTTGTGAATTCTCGAACCACCTTATACAAAGCATTTACAACACTCCAGTGAATGACCATTTGTCAACTTTTTGATGGGCTTTAAGGCAAGTGTCCCTTAAAATTTATCTTTTGATTTGGAGAGTTTTTTCACCATTGTATGTGGTACCCTAAGTCAATTTCTGATGTCCACTCAACTGAGAATATCGAAAATAGTCTTTTTTCAATAACAGCTTATGGGTCATGTCAGACATATTTGAAGATGCCTAGCCTGCTAGAAAGAAGATGCCACCTAGCGCATCTTAAAACCCCTTCAAACTGCAAAATTGTGGTCTCGACTTTCTGTGTGGAGTTTATTGGAATACTACTGGCAAGCTTAACACAAATCTTGGTTTGGAGATTCAGAAATCGACAAAAATATCAGAACCACTGTGGTTAAGTGCAGGAACACCTTTCTCTTTTGGTGAAATTTTGGAACATCCGAATCTTGTCCAGAGTACCATCCGCCCCAAAAAACCTTATATGGCACTTATCTACCAACATGCTGTATTCATGTTAGCCTCAAGTCTACCAAAAACCATAGAACACTTCTGAAAAGTAGAACTGTAATTAAGAAATTCATGTTAAAGGGATATCTTGAGGGCTACTCTCTCACAAATACGCTCCGCTACTTCATGTAGCACTGGAACGCTCCACGTCTGGCTCGAAAATGTGGACGAATTCTGCAAGAAATAGAACAAAGCACCAAGTTAAAACACGTTTTCACCTTCTTGCTTCCCTTAGAGTACGTATTTAGAAAAGATCAAAATAACCATTCTTAAAAATCATTGCTACAAACACGGGTAATATGTGCTAGAATCTTTTTGTTTCTTCTTCACCAAGGTCCGACCTACTTCTGATAATCGCGCTTCTTTTGATCTCTTGGAGGTAGAAAGAAATGAAATGGGCAGATGCTGGAGCTTAAACCGAAGATGAGATCGTAGTTAAATAGGCTTAGTCTGTCTAAAAGAACGCGTACCATTATAGTCGACGACCCCGTCCCCATTTTCATCGGCCTCTAGAATCATCTCTAAGATGTCCCTGTCATTCAGCTGCTTTCCGATGTTCTTCATCAGCTCCTTGAGATCATTTGTGTCTATCACTCCGTCTTTGTTTACGTCAAACTTCTGAAATTTTTAAATAGCGAGAGTTGGGGCTCCAAAAGGTATAAAAGCAAAAGAATTGAGTTTGTGGACTCATTTGGACTACCCTTTAAGTTGCTTTGACCTAGATGAAGCCATTTTAGAATCCATTGCAATTTCTTTGACCACTACTAACTTTGTTCATTTTAGGAATTGAGAATTTGTTAAATGAAATTAAATTTCCGTACCAGCGTTCACAATGGTTACAATCAATACCGGAAGCATCGAAACCAGGAACTGCGCACAAGGAGCTTGTACTTCCTCTGGATGACAAAGTTCAAAATCGACCATTCATCACGGATCAACCTGCCTAGCCAAAGTTCTTTTGAATCTTCCGTGCTCTCTATACTGAGTTTCTGCCGTTGTTTTTGATGGACAAGAGCGCATTAAGTGACATAAAACAGGCTGTGCTAGTGTCTAACTTTATAAAAACATTACGGCAGGTGTGAAAAGTTTCTCCTTCGAAAAAGGATTAATAACGATGTTTTCCAATCCCCCTGGAGAGCAAAAAATGACACATTTTCGGGGCTTCAAGTAATTTCTCTTAAATGGGCTACCCGTAAAAATGCAATTCCTCCTCTTATTCAACCCTTCCTATTAATCACGATATCCATGTCGTGGATCATCCAGAACAGAATTGAGGCCAGTGAACCAGTGAACCAAGAGAAGGGGATTATGGGAATAAAGGTCACTGCTATGCGATGACAGTATGCTGCTGGAATGCTATGATCTTGTTTATTCTGCTGTGCCAAAATAAGCAGCCGTCTAGAGATCATCTACCGAATGTGAGATGCTCCGAATAAATACCGCAATTTAGGGTGGTAGATATGATGGGAACATGAGCGTTTGGACCATGCTGCAGCATGCCCAATCCTTGCATATTGCCGTGTTAAAAAGGGAGATCTGTGTAGATTACTTGAACTTAACGAGGGCATAAAATTGCACAATTTGTGTTCCGTGGTTCCGCTAAGCAATATTAAGGCACAACTTTTTGGATTGCCTTTTTAAGCATCCTCTGGGACCTGCTTTTGAGAACTTTGGAAAAGGACAATTAAGTATCTGTGTCCCCACACTCCGTTTGCCCATCACTCCAAATGAACAGTGAAGGAGTTATCTCGGTATGATTGTTATCTAGTAGTACCATGCCAGTCGTGGGTTTGATTTATTCTCATAAATGAATCGAGGTAGGGCATTGAGGTGCTTACATAAATTGCCTTAGAGAATTGAGAGTATTTATGCTTAAAGCTGCCCCATTTTGATCACGGTAATTACGGTCGGTACAAATCCACAAAGCAAAATAGTTTTTTTGAACACGTGCCTCCTGCCTACTTATAATTTGGAAAAGAAAAGATATTGCCATAAAAAATGTTCAAAATTGCGACAGAACACTCAGCATAGTTAAAATGCAATTTAGTGACAATCATTCATGCTGTCAACAGCATATCAACGGAAAGTGGTTAACGCGCAACCAGACCAAATGAAGAGGGCTTGAGCAATACCTAAAAAGCGGCTGATTGAATAATATATGTCCAAATTGTTTTGAATGGCTAAAATGATTTAAAAGTGTGAGCGTGAATATCCTGGATTTTCATACCTATCACCCGCGGTTTTTATCTCTTCATCTAGGCAAGGCTCCATTCCTGCTGATTGAATGTAATTACTCCTTCGGAGAGTAGTTTTCTTTATCCGGGTACTTTGTGCTTTTAGTTTCAATTAAAATCTTAGCTCCATTAAAAAGTGAGTCGGATCTAGCATTGCTCTTTTCAATTAAGTCGGTTTGTTGTACCCGTTTCGAGAAGCCACTTTTACTGCGTGCTTGATTTAATGTTTAAAAATTACGCATACTTAAGCTCTGCCTGTCCTGTCCTTCAAAAATACCATCCCATTTCTCTAGTCAACTGTGAAAGGATGTGAAATGCGAGTAAAGGTGCCTTACGTTGAAGGCCTCTCGATACATGTCGATTCGCGAGGAGAAGTGAGTGCCTGCCTGGTTCTGGCTTTGAAAGGACGTGGCCATAAGGGAGACGAACTCCTTGTAGTCGATCGAGCCATCGCCTAGAAATTGGAAGTAAAATGAACCACCTTTCCCTAATGGTATTTTTGCTTTTTGGTCAGATAACGAATGACTTCTTTCACTTTACATCTCAACTTTCTACCACCATCATCTCGAAGGCACATTTATGCATTGAGGCAATGTAAAAGTGGTTTACCACCTAAAATTTTTGACAAGTATTTAATCTATGAATGTGGACACTTCTCGAGGTAAAGTTTTTTTCTTCCTTGGGAAAAAATTAGAATCACTTCCACTTTAGTCAAATAAAATGCTTATTTCAATTCTAGAATAATGCCTGTGGAAGAGCGACGAAGCAGTAACTCTAGCTTTCTTCTTCATTCTTAGATGAATTTACATTTGCATAGTTATAAATTAGGCAAGTAATAACTTTTAGAAATGCCTTGTTTTTTATTCATTTCGGAGAGAACTTTACTGCATTTTACTTGGCTGTTCTCGAATTAATGAGCAGGTAAAAGTTGACAATTTATTCCCAAATGAGACTTGGACCGAATTATACAGTTATAAAATTCCCTATTTTTCTTTTTTAGTGCTGTTTTATCTCCAAAATTTGGGCTTTGGTGGAATCCATGTTGCTGAATTAGAGGCTTTACACGACCACGAAATAGGACCCATTTATACATGTTAAGTGTGGAGAGCGCCTATGGAGTGGTGAAGGTGTGCCGTGAATCACTTCCGACCGGCCACCCAAGCGTAACATTACTTATCATTCTTCTTATTTAGCACCCAACTACTGTATAAGAAAGGACTCTTCTGAAGCTCCTGAGATGAGGTGGAAATTGACATTTTATGTCCGCCGAAAGAGCGGGTCGAGGAAGTAATACCATGAAACTTATAGCTCCAAAGTCCTAAAAAAATTTCACAAAGTGTCCTTCAGCAAAGAAACAGCTCCTTAACTCTACTTTTTTATGAATATTTAGGTCTCAAATTTCTATGTTTGGTGGTTTATGTACTTTTTAAGGCTGAATAAAAACCAAAGAAAATTGCATTTTTGGGGGTTCTGTGTTCTTTCATGTTATGAGACATTTGCATACAATGGAAGAGATGTCTTGTAATTTAGTCTTTATTTGCTCTATTATTTTTATTGCACAAAGAGAATGAATTCTTCCTTTTTACATTTTTTTGGTTATATGATTTACAAATTGAAAACTGCCAAGGGAGGTTTCCCAGCATCCGCTAACTGGATCGGCAACAATCGCTGCCCAAAGTGTCAAAAAACTTTTGCCTTTGGCGTTTAAGTTTTCCTACAAATTCGCAACTTCCATGCATGCTGTAGAAAAAATAATATTCAGCCAAAGGGGGACCTAGGGAATCAAATTGAGATTTTGCACCGCTTGTAAGCCTTATTTTCTGCTAAGACGACCTGCACCACACTAGGAAGACTGTCACGGAGCCTTATGTACTCATTTTACAGCATTAGACTCGAGCTCATGGCTAAAACAAGTCAGTGCCTGAGTGAGTAAAGCCGAAATTCACCGAAATCACAAAGACAGGCCTGAAGTAAAAACTTTAAGCGGTTAATTCGGAGTAGAACTTGTCCAACACTTCAATTCAAAGCAGGGAAATGTGAGGTATATACTGTTTGCTAGAATTAGGCTTAGCATCTTTCAGGCGCGACCAACAATTTTTTACCGCAGTCTCAAAATTACACTGCAATTCAAGGAAATCCTTTGCCAAAATTTGAAGCAGAGCTTGAATTGACCTCACCTCAGTTTAATTGTCGCCTCCAACACTACCGAAAGTGGAAAAAATGAACGCACTATAAACATTAGGCTAAAAAATGTTTGCCACGGTTAATGAGAGATCCTGAATGAAGTTTAACTTTTATTTTTTAACGATTGAACATTTTAAACGGAAATCATATCCAAAAGGCGCACTAATTCCTACCACAGTTTTGCTAGTAAATCATAGTAATCTATTTATTCTAATCGACACTTTCAAAAGCCACAAAAAGCGAATGGGGGCAATGAACTACCGCTGTCAATGCAATATTTAGCTATCAGATAATGCTTAGTATCAGAAATGGCTATGCTGCTACTGGTATTAATATAAAAGTAGTGCATAAAAGGTCCATCAATCTCACCGTTTTCATCGGCTCCTTGAAACAAATTCTCGATGAGTGCACGATCGTGGGCGAGGCCGATGGCTCCAAAAGCGGCGGTCAATTCCTCGAGGGATATGAATCCGTCGCCATTCTCGTCGAAGTAGCTGAAACTCCGCTTAATTTCTGCAGGGTGCAGAAAGTGATGGCTTCAATAACACGGCAAAAGGAAGACCACGCGCAGTCTTATGAATGAAGGCACTAAATTTTAAAGCTGAATGGTATGTATGCTTCTTACCTGTGTGAGCTAACTGAACTTAAAACTAGTCACGCCAAACGATACACTTAAATAATTTGACATGGGTTAAATATTTAAGTGACTTTCTCTGCTCAGTGTTCGAGATGATTTTGTCCCAAAAGCCATGCCCGAATCCAGATGAATGTCCAGGTAATCATTGAACTTGCTTGCCGGCCTTGTAAAAGGCGATTTTCCTTTGCCTACTGTGCTTAATGTGTTTGCGATTAAGAAAAATCGGAGAATGAGAAGGAAGCTTGGAAGAGAAATAAGAGATTTCACTTCGATACCTAGCATTTATAAATGTTCCAAGCCTTCTATGCCATGCTGAGTTATTGACGTACCCACTGAAATTCTCTCCTTCTATTTAAAAAGACTGCTTTTGTGGTTGCTAATACGTGGGGAGTAATTTCGACCGCACCAGCAAACGCTGTTACCTTCAAATAGCAAGGAGTCGTAAAAAATTGCCTGTTATCCAACCATACTTAAATCTATGTCTCAATATCCATTGCTCTTGCTAACAGTTCATTTACAGCTTTTGAATAATGACAATTTAAAAATTGCCTGGCACAACTTCAGAGCCATCCTTTAAGTTTTGTTGAACAGGAGGCTTTAGAAATTGGCTTTATTAAGCGTTTAACTTAGTAATTTGACAGAAAATTGCACTAGATGATAAAGAAGTAATGCTAGGGAGAAAATTCTTTGTGCCTTGAATACATGCAGCAGTTATTTTAAGCAAAGAACCCTTTCAGAGGTACCCAAGAATCTAAAATTATTGCCCTCTACTGACCTTCAACTTTGTTTCCTATTTCCTACCTTTGACCGAGTATAGTATGCTAGTTGAAGCATATATCACTCCAGAAAATTTTGAGGTCGGCTTATTGTTTCTCGGCCATTCTGTTGTTTATTTAACGGCGCTGCTCCTTCACTCATTCGCTATTGTTGACAGTTTAGCTGAGAATGCTTTTCAAGAAGTAGAATGTCCGGATTTTAATGTCTTTTTTTACTTGTTTGGCAAAAAAAGTCGTTTAGTCCATGACCTTCTTCGGTGCCATGGTGGATGCAATTGCCCCTCATTTTGATGGATGTTGAAAAACCTCATTTTATCCGCCCCATTTTGTAAAGACTACACCTCAAATGTATCAAATCAAACAAAACTTCTTCTGTACCAATAAAATCCGGCTTCTTGTAATGGTGCAGTTGAAAAGAGAACAAATAATAGTGAGATGCGTCAGGGAAAGATCCATCAGCGTCAATGTTGAATGCAGCTATTTGTTTTTAATTTTGATCAGTTTTATTTAGACATATTTCAAAACTTTTTGTAAATTTCAGTAGAACAAGAAATTAGTCAGGTTATTTCGCAGTCACTTTTATGTAGCACAAATTATCCCCTAACTGACATGGCCATAACTTTTGGAGTTGTCATGATCTGACTTTTCCGCCCTGTGTCATAAGAATTTCAGACATGCATACTGCACTTTGAGGAGACGGGATTCAGTATCATTTATTTGTCCTCGTCTTTAACGGAAATTTGTTTTACCGACCATGACACATAAAAGTAAGGTTAGATGCTTGTTGGACACAGAAGCTAGTACTCTTATGCAGTAATGCCACAAGCCATTCCACAGTGTGGTTCAAAGATGGTTTAATGCCAGACTGCCAATTGACCACAATTTGCTTTCGAATCTGTAGATACCATGTGCATGTCCCTCTCCCTTGTACCCTTCCACTGCTTATTAATCTGTACGGGTTTTTGGGCTAAAATGGGAACTTTGCTATCCAAAGAGCAATAAGTACACAGTTGATCTCTAATAGTGGACAGATTATGCATCTACCTCACTCCTGATCTTAAGTAAGGTTATTCTGAAGACCTGTGTAGATTTGGCTCTTACTTTTTTGTCTTTTAACAGGCCAGAAATGTGTCCACTTTCCCATTGTTAATAAAGTTTGCTTAGCGTCATTCCTGGGGACTTAAAATGCTACGCACCATCAGAAGTTTAGTCGTTTTTACGCGCCTTAGGTTGAATGGTACGGTTAGTTTGACACTCACCTGAGACCTGTTCTGAAGTGAGTTTTTGAGAATTAATAAGTTGCTCAGCAAGGCGTTCGCCATCCTCCATTGGATCTCTCACTGTCTTCACGAAGGCTGGAGCTATTTTAGCGGCAGAGGTAGTGGTAGACGAACGGGGTGGCTCGCGGTCGTGCTCGCTGTCACTGGAGGCGAGAAAAGAGGAGAGACTGGCAATGCTCATTGCTCTTGAGGATCGGCTCTTAAGTCCACTGCGTCCTGAGAAACGGTTCCAGTGAATGGCTGTCATATTGAGAGCTAAGAGGCTTCAGATGGGTGGCGTATGTGAAGTATAATGTGTGGTGCGAGGCGAGGTGGTACGTAGCGTCACGCCTCCTCCGCTCACCCTTTCGCCTTCTTGCTCCCACTCCTTAGTGGCCAATGGGCCAGACGCTAACTGGCCTAGAACTGGCAGGCAAAAATCTCATTTTAGAGTAATGTTTCTGAGAAATCTTTGTATTTCACTCACTCAATTTGCTTCAGATGGATTAATAAAGGAAGGTGTGCCGTCATCATCATCACCATTCACTTTTGAGAAAACATTTAAATGGAACGGTTCATTGAGCATTAAAGATTTTTATGGAAATCGCATTATGCTTTCTGGCAGTAAAAATGCATTAGCAGGTAGTCTTATTAAAGTTTCAGGATATTACCGTTAGCTTTCTACCATATTGGGTTCGATTTGTGAATTTCCGAGCTTAAATCTCTTAAAGTCTTAAACGTGAAGTAAACGCGTTAAGCAACTAAATTTCTTTGGCATTTCCAAATATTTTTTTTTAATACTCCTGGAAATTCATGCGATGTTAAATGCCAGCTTTGTATCACACGAGAATAAATCGCAATCAATGGTGATTTTAAATAAAAATGGGCTACATTGCCACTTCAAGCGCATTTGTTTAAGCGGTTTAAAGGACGTGCTTAAAGGAAAGTAGGTCATTAAACAAGGTAATTGTCTTTTGCTTAGATTTGAATTTGTGCACATTTCCTTATACCCACAAGTCACGGTGAGGGTGGGGCAAAACACACCAAAATGAGGAGGTGGCATCAGTTACTCAATTAGTCGAGACAACCGCATGATGTGTCAACGAAGGGATCACAATGCTTTAGCCTTAGTTGCTTCTTCCATAGTAGCCAGGAGTATGTTGATATTCATGAGCCTTAATAAACGCGTCAGTGGTTATGGCGTTTAACACGTCCACAGAAGGTGGGTTGCTGTGGTTAGTTAACTTGAAGGAAGGTTGCTAAAGATTGGGGAGAGTGGTCGAAAAAACGCTCCCAGAATTGACTCACTTTGGCATCTTTTGAGGTAGCGAGTGCCATTAGGCGCAGTAGAAGACCAGACGGGGACTGTAGAGGGACTACATAATGATGATAATTATTTATAATATACTCACTGCTATGAATAGCTGGGCAGTGATGTCCCAAATTATATGAAATTAGAAGGGAAATCAAAGAGACCAAAACCAACTGCCGGAAGTAATGCAGGGGATGATCATTCGATGGATCAAGGAAGACTTTAGTGAATTTTTAAAGGTGGTGGGCATGTTTGAACCGATGTTAACAAAATAAAATGGCTAATTTCCCTTTAGTTTAATAATATGGCCATAAAATGTTCATGATTGTCAATTGTTATAGTTCCTAACATGAATAGCAAATCATATGAGTAAGTGACGCGCGTCAAGACTTCTCTGAAGACGAAAGAAGATATAACACTAGGACAGGATATACATGTCAAAGTAAAGATGGAGTAAAGGGCTACCAGCCATGCCTTTTAGCGCCTGCATCACCGAAACGATTAGTTAACCAAATATCCAACCCATTGCATAGTTCTCTCTATTTTGAACGCCGTCCGCAGCGCTCCCTCTGGTCAACCTCCCGAGCCGGCCATCATAACGTAGTCGGTGGCGTGAGAAAACCGACCGCACCAGTCATCGAATTTGCGTGCAAATGAGGAAATACTTGACCACAACGTCATCCATCCACCAGATCTGGACTTTTGGCCGGTGCTGGAAGAGAAAATGTGCTGACCATCTGTTCACTGGCCCAAAAGCAGGGTCAATTAGTAGAAGACGGTGTTTGAAATAGTTTCATGGGGTGAGGTTTTGTGTCTGTTCCTCCTTGCCATTTTGTTTCTTCTTCAGTGCTGCCCAGCTATACCTATCTGGATTCTCTTTAGGTAGTAACAAAGTGGAGGAAATATCACGTGTTCGCCTAATTACCAACCTCATATAGGTACAGTTGACAGATTCGTAGTGTTCCTACACAAGACGGGATCGGAGCGATTACCATTATCACCAAAGTAGCGTGCCGAAACTTCCCTAAAGCCAAAAGAAGACATTGTACTAAAGTAGGGTGTATATTATTGATGTCGGATGAGCTGAGCCCAGAGGCCATGGCGCCAAGTGGAAGTAAGGTGGACGTGTCCGTTAGTACGCGCGTAACCAAAACGAAGAGTTAAACCAACGACCTAGGTATTACGAAGGCACCAATTAATGTCCAAAATCCTGTAGCCCGAACTAATTCTACTGTTCACCGCATTTCTCACTAAAATAATTTTACGGTTTTTTTACGGTTTTGAATTAATATTATTCTGAAATGGCGCCAGACTGGCTGTAGGAAGGCAGCAAGTCTAACTTTCTGTGAATAAGAGTCCCGTTTTAGAACCCATTGTCTATTTGACCGAGGAGCATATATTCGTTTGCAAAATAGTGTTTCTTGCTTGAAATTGATCAAGAATTAATGCAACTTTTGTGTAGTGCATTAAAAGAGGGTGGCGCATACGCAAATTTTTAATTAATCCCAAATTTTTTCACTTTTTCTGCTTCTCTCTCTTTTTTGTTGTGGTCCAAGGGGACCTTAATTAAGATCATGCTTCACCACCTAACTAACTGGCTGTTACAAAAGCGGCTGGCCTGCCACTTCCAACAATTCAATCAGAAGATTCGGTAGCATCGCCCTGACATTAATGGGTATGCTTCATAGACTCTATTTGGGCGTTCCCTGTAGACTGAAATTCCATCTTTCACTTAAAGAGTGCGTGAAACACTCGTTCTTGGCTGGTTACACACTCCCCCAAGATAATATCTAGCGAAAGATTTGCGTTGGCAACAATGTAAAAACGTGTCTCATTGAGACAGTATGTACACATCAGGGATGGTATGCGAAGTGTGGCCTTTTAAAAATTAAACACAAATAAATGCACCGTGGGGGGCTTCTACGCATGAGACCGATACCCCAGCATTGATTCAAAGGCTAAAAATGACATTCTTCAGACAACGAAATTTGCATAGCTACCTTGTGGAATTGGTAATTCGTGAGCCACTTGAAATTTCATCATCTCATTAGGGAAACAGCTTCAGTTATTGCATTCAACTACGGAGTCTTAAAGCCCCACTTTGAGGTTGAAGCTATTTTTCCCTCACTTTGCCAAGTCCATCTGTGATTTAGGGCAAAACTTACGATTTTTTCAGTTCAAAAAATGGAATGCGCTTATTTTAATTATACCTACCCATCCGCACTGACTGTAAATGAGAATTCACTCAACCAGTAAAACAGCCAAGTGGATGTGATGTGGCCCTTTCGAGTCAGTGCGTAAAGCCTTCCCCCACAAAACTTGCTTCAAGGATATTTTCCAGCTGTAAACTAATATTTTATGCACACAATTTTCCACTCTACTTGACTTGATGTGAGTTGGATGGTTATAGAAAAATAAAATGCTACGATTTGCCAATCCTATACTCTATGCCGGCTGGGTAGACCCTACGGCTACTGAAGTGATTAGCCTCGAACTGCCGAGGACATGTGCGGTGGAATTAAAGGGGACTTTGAATCCCATTAGACGGTGTGGATTTCTACTTTCTTTGGACTAAATAATCAGGATCCGCGCAACGTGTTTTAGTGAAGAGTACAATGAGTCTTTACATAGGTAGAAAATTTTAAAATCAAAGGTAATAGGTAGCATTTTAATGCATAAAATGTGGAGAAATACACCTACACTAGATGGATAGGCTCTAAAAGTGGTGCCCAAGTGTACCCGATTTGCACAAAGAATAAGCAAATAAAGACGGGAGAATTGACTTGACGCCAGTGATGAAGAATACCTAATCCATGTTGTTATGAACGGTCAGTTTACTTAGAAAATGTGACGAAGTTTTAAGTGCATGAAATTTTCCTGTAGTAGAGACACTAATCCTCGAAATTTTGAATTCTGAGCTTAGAGGCTTTTGAGGGTTAGGTATTTAATAGAACTGCTTACCTGTTTGTTGGTATGTAACGCATTTCATCAAAATGAGATTTTATTAGCACGTTGGCGGTCAGTTTTGCTGACATGTGACGTTCGGACTTTTTATATGAGCCCATACGTCACACAAATGTGACACATTGAAATTAACTCGAGCTACTCTGGTTACTCATATTAAGATGGTAAATAATGCCAGTGTAAATGGACTTAAAGGCTATTTCGATCTTATTTGAGTTTTCGAGATCGAATTTAAGCGGCGAGTGTATGATTGGAGTTGCAAGTATCGCACAAATGTTGTTCATATCTCAAACCACTAAATTTAAATGGCGAAAAACTAACAATGTCTGTGTGCTATGCAAATTAGTAAAGGGGTACATGAATAACATTCTACGAGCTTTCACACAACTACAAGACTATAACTTATCCGGATCTTTGTGCACTCTAATTTTAAGGTATATGCTTACTACAAACATATCAAAACTTTCGGCTATTCTGCTTTTGATGTTCAAGTCTTTCCCTTTTCATCAAAACCTAACCTTCTGGAAGTAGCTTGCGCTTTGCTGACACTTCCTTTGACCACGAGGTCATCACGGGGTCGTTAGTACACGAGAGTAACTATCTTTATGACATATATGGAGCTCCGAATGACGGCAACAGAAACATGTGTCTCGAAGTTTTGGTCTTCTCTGATCTTCTGGCAGGGATCGCAATGCGTCCACAGTAAACACTGTCCCTCTTTATTCGTACTCGTACATTACTGCTATTTCAAAACGGCTCTACTTTCCTAAATACTGTACTATTTGTTTTCCTCGATCTTAAGAGTTCTCTTTTGATGTCACTTAGTTGGCATAACCTTTAAAGATGTGCCATTTGATGCGCTTTTAAATACATCTTTACATCCAGTGTACTAGTGCAGGATAATCTACCCTTGGTGCAAAATTGTAAGTAATTTCACAGAAGTAATTAAGCGGAAATCATATCAGCTTTGGAGTACACTGTAATTATTTGCACTGACTGCCAACCAAAACATCATACCACCTTATTAGAAGCAGCCTCAAAACGTTTGAAGCTTTTGCAGTAGTGCCTAGCTCAAACTCATCCCGTTGTACGGGTTCATTTTTGAACACCAAAAATGCCAGCTCCATATATAGGAGACACCAATTACTGCAGTAATATGGCAGAAATGTAGCTATTCTTTAAAACAGTCGATTTAGCACCTCATTATCAAGGGTTAATGATACTAGGTTTTGTATTACCACAGTGCTTTTCTATTATAAGCGTTAGATTAGCTCAAGGTAAGTTTGTTAACTTGTTTTGAGGCACTCTGTCCCCCACAACCCGTCAACTTCCAACTTCACCCTTTCGTCACTCTTTTTTTGATTTAGGCTACATTCAATCCACATCAAAACTGGGTAGCAGCTTAAACTGTCCAATGACTGTCACAGCGGCACCACTTATGCCTGTTATAAATGTAAAATTTTCAAAAATAAGGATGTCATTTTGTCCACCGTTTAAACATGCGACTGCACAACTCTTCGGTCTTTACATATACTTAAAATGGTTAGATAAAGGTGTAGGAAAAATAAAGTATTTTACTGTTTTTTTATGGGTATTTAATCACAGATAAAGTGGCTTTGATAGAATTCACTTATGCTGATAAAATATTTGACAAGTAAGAGTTTAATCAGCACTAAAAAAAATATTATAATAAGTGTTTTTAGATGTCTTCCTATAGTCCACAGTGTCAAAAAGTAGACAGCGTATCATTTGAGACACCGTGTGCTTGGCGCTTTGCCCCAGCCTAGCAGTGATCTCCTTCCTTGACGTATTGGATGCCTGAATGACGCTCCAAGGGAATTTCACTTGTTTGTGGCTAAATAACCAGACCGCCTCATTTTGATTTCGTTTTATATGCGGCCTAAATTCAAACTATTAATATCTAGCTACGAACGCCTGCAACTGTATCATCCTTTATAGGGACGTTGTCGTACAGGGATGAAATAATCTTGTACCAACAAATGTGGGTAATTAGTAATCGCAAGAAAAGACATTATCCGAAGGTCGTCACTTTTATCCATGCACTTACCTAAAAGAAAAATTCAATCCTTCTTCGCTTCACTTTCAACCCGTTCAACACGTTCCAGGCGTGTTAGGCTATTTCCTAGCGGTTTAAATTTTCCCAAAAAGAAAGAGATTTAGAACAAGACTTATGTTCCAATATGGAATCAGTAGAAATTGTAAACAGGAAGGCCTTTAAATATTTCATCGGCATTAATAACCTTTACTTCTCAAAGGAATTGCAAATAAATTTAAACGGAATAAATATGTGAGATGCCTTAGTTACACAACATTTCCAAGCCTGACAACTCTACTTATATGCGTTCAGTAGCATTGCATGAGGAGAGATTCACAAATGCCATGCACTTTTTGCATGAATTCTCGTAATACCTTTGCTGAAATCTATTCTGAAGAAAAAGACTTCAACCTTTTTGAACTTGCTAATAAATGGGTGTAGCAATCTGTTTTTTTTTAGTTTTTTGGCATGTAATTTTCAAATTTTAAACTTATTGGTTTAAGTGTACATAAAAGCGAACATTGTCCTTTACACGTACAGCAATTGAAGTTGCAGTTGGTCTTGGTTAGTGTCAGGTCATACGCAAAGCCTACTTCAACACTCTCACAACGCCGTGGATGTGAGAAGATGCAAAAATTGTTTGCTAAAAATGACACGAAGCAGGCAGAATAATACGTCCGCAGCATTTCGGCCACAATGACTGCTATTGAGCGCAGGCGACTGTTCCTAGCAGTGAAATGAAAACTAACAAAAGACTGTATTTTTGTGAGGGTGAAGAAAGAAAGGTGAAGGTGAACTCCTCGCCTCTTTCTTGTTCTCCAAGAAAGGCAATTTCAAATGGTACTTGAACCACTTTGCCGTGAATTTTTACTGAACTTAGACCTGCAATAGGAAAAAGTATGTCCTTTAGAAGCATGCTGACTAACTATGTAAGACCCGAGTTGTCGCAGTGTTGATTGCAACAACAGCAATTCTTACAATATTAATCGTGATTTTTTGTTAAAAACAACCGCTCCGTTTGGGAAACTCTTGAGGTAGCAATCAACTACGCTGTAGTCCTTCAAGAAGAAACAAAGTGTAGGCCGATCGCACGTGCGTGCAGTCCTTCATCATTAATCATTCCGTGACAAAAGTTTTGTTTATCCCCTATTTATGGCATCTAATAGACATAGTATTATCCACTGTCGTAATGCTGACATACTAAGTTAGCTCGGTAAGGTAGCACAGATAAACGTACTTAACTAATTGCTAGGACCGCTTCAGAGCAACTTGCTTCATTTTTTAAAAATGAAAAGCAAAGATTGCACCCACATAAAGACCCTTTCAAAGTGCATTCGTAACCCCCACAGTTTCATTAAGTATGGACTCATTTATCGCTGCGGAAATTCATTTGTTGTAGGGTCTTGAAGTATCACCATTTCTACAATTTATTCAACATTTTCTCGGATTATCATCCCTCTTCAAAGAGATCTTGCTGGGCGTCAGAAACCGACCCAAATAAGTTTCAACTAATCTGCTCTCTTGCTACCTTCCGTTTCTGATGACTTCCAGGAAATCTAAGACTACATTTTACTAACAAAACACCGATTAGTAACTTAATGGCACTAGTGACTTGAACGTCTACAATAAATGCTTAACTGAGAATTTATTTGCCTCCTTAAACAGTTTCCGATCTGTTACCTCAAGACTTACTTCCAGTCCACTTCAGCTGAACTCCTCCCTGCCCTGAAACCGCACTTTCTTCAACATTAAAAACACCTTCGACTTTGGCTGGACCAAAGTAGGCAACGCATTTGGGAAGCTGTAGAGGTAAAGTTTTTATGATCAAGAATTCTGAAGCCAGTTTGACAATCTAATACAGAAGTGTAAACCTACAGAGGATGAGAAGTATGGAACAGCAATTTGAACAGGTCGCGATATCGTGTAGTTGTCTTCGATGGTAAGCACGGGGGGTGTCGTGTAGAGAATACGTCTTCCTCGTCCAGGGTACCGTCCTGACAACACAAATTAAACGTTATTAAGGCAGGCAGTGGGCAAGCCTTTTATGTAAACTGCTTGTTTTTAGTCCTAATTACTGTTATTTTCGCCTTCAAATTTCCCATTAGAATGCCTCACATGTTTTCAAATTAAGTAGTACTTACTTTATAGCTTCCTATACTAAGTAAAGCACTTACGACGAGATATCACTAAAATAGGACCAGACCCCTAAACTGCTGATTATTATTTCCATTTATAGCTCGTAACGTAACGTTAGGTAACAAAGATTCCAACAAGGTTTACCAAGTTAAGGAAAATAAACCGCTTCTTGGCTACAAAACTAATTTGTCTTTTAGATAAGCGTGCCAACATTCCTGCTCATAAGTAGGACGAAGTAGTGGATACAATTCAAGGGAAATAAATTCCTAGAACCACTTTCCTTACCTACCTTGGCTCATCCTATGAATCAAGAGCGTAGCATCCATCTTTCCTTTCGAGAGGACGAGGCGAGTCACATCTTTCTTGTTGAAATCCCCACTTATTCTAATAAAGGTCGTTCCTGTTCAAAAAATAAAGCAAAACGATTACTGACTCGTTTAAACTAACTGAAAGCGGTCCGATCCTATATGTATGGGTGTCTATTTGCTAAGGCCTTCTCAAAGCTAAGGATTTCGGACGAATGTATTGAAGTATCCACTTCATTGAATCCCACGGTTTACTGGTTGAACACAGTCCCTTGCTCGAAACCTGCTGAACATGCTACAGACCTTCATCCTTTCTAAACGGATTGGTAAAAACTACTAGATGAATTTTGTTGGCTATTGGGAATAGGTAGAATCTTTCATTTTTTTAAAACAGAGTAAGCGCAATTTTAAGTGTAATTCCACTTTTTGTGATCCATATCAATTTCATTAGCTGGCCTATACATCCTCGTGACAATCCACGATCCATTTGAATGTTTACTTGAAATTCGAAATCCCCAACTGTGGCATTTGCTTGTGCCACTTTTGCCGCAAAGGGTAAGGCAAGTGCACTTTTGTTGCCTGGGGCAATTAATCACTGGTCGACTGCAGCCAAGGCAATGTTGACAAAATAGTCAAATAAGTTCCAACACTACTTTTTGGTGAAAGCTACTTAGGATTTCTGGCATTTAGAATATTTGAATACGATAATAAAGTTAATTGAGCCCACTGTTTGACGATGCTTTCGCTCATCTTTAACGACAAGTAGACATGGGCAGAGTGATGGTTTGATAACAACAATAGACTCGATTTGGCAACTTCCAGCACTCTAGTGGACCCTCCAAAATGCATAAGAATAGCAACAAGGCCTCATATCACTTTACCTGAGTAATTGTGACAGACGTTGTAATTAGGATGGCAAAATGGGTCGTGAGGCGGGTTAGAAGCCTTTGGGACGAAAAATGAAAAAAAGTACAGAATCGAAGCTTAATTACACAATTTTGGGGCTACTCGTTGGAGGGGGTAAATTACTCACTTGGATACCAAAATCTAACCCTCGTTCAACCCGCACATAATCACCGATTGCTGCCCTTACTTTGCATCTTCTGTCATTACACTGAAGATCTTCATTGGCACTAAAATAAGGTTGAAAGGAGTACCAAAGTTTCTTGTAAAATATTTGCATGATCAGATTTACTAAATGTAGAAATCGGATGGATCTGAGGTTTCCTAGAATTTAGAGAAGGCCAATTAAGTCATAAAAATTTATGAAGTAGCTGCAGAATTTTAATCTCGAGATCATAAATAACCACCGCATCCTTCTTACATTACCTAAACCATACGCGATTTCCCTACTTCAGTACTATGCCGAGTTTTTGGGAAACTAGAGACCGTAGTAAGTGGGAGGTAGGCCTGTGGTCGCTTACTAAACTGTTCCAACTACAACAACTCTCTTCTCCTATGTGAGTTATTAAATCAAACTGAACGGCGGCAGATGCGAGAATCGACGTAGTCCCTTCTCATTTTCTCGTGTTTTCGCCACCTTATTGCGATGAAACTACGACATTTTCGAATTGTTAGAATGAGCTCTCTTCCTTGCTCTGAATGGCCTTTTCGCATTTGCATTCTAGATGAATTAGCCATTATTTCGCCTAGTCGAGGCAACATTGGAATGAGATAAAGGTCTAATCCGTCCATTTTATCCATTATTAAGACACTAAATGCGTATTCGTCAATTTGACATAAGAAGACTTACTTGGAATGCACTTTGATTCAGCCTTTACATGCAAAAGTGGGAGCCAGTACATCTTACTTGTTGTCATTTTTGACAAATCAACAGTCCGTCCCTGATCGGAATTGCAAAACATTCTCACGTTTTTTAAATTGAAGCAAGTTTAAAGTGACACCAAACTAGCTGAGCTCATTTGATATCCCTTCTGCTCAAGTCAAACTCATTCAGACCTGCGAATTTCCTGATAATCAGGATTTCGTTCTTGTCACGATTTGCTAATCGTGCGTTCATCACCAAATCCTAGCGGCAATGGTGCCATTAACAGTGCCATTTCGTCTCCCTCTTCACTTCTGGTCTAAGTGATTGGAGTCGTACAAACTCCAGTCCTGTTTCATACAACTTACCCAAGTAGTTACATTGCCTTTCAAAGTGGAATCAAGCTGGCAAAATCTAGCACGAGTTTTGCTATTTATGAGGACGCACAGTATAGCCCATTTTCAAAAATGTTTAAGAGAGGTTAAAATCAACTCCCAAACACACAAATATTTGTTTTTCGTGCGTCAGGTCTACAGACTTCGCTCCACTTAAAGCATGTGAAAAATAAACCGACGTACGCAGATGATAAACTGGTTTGTACTCGAGGTAGTCATTTAGAGCCTTCACACTGATATTCAAATTTATATGCCGTAGAAATCTCCTTCTAAGGTATAAAAATTCACATTTTCGAAAATTGTAAAAAAGTTTTTAGTTACATTGGTGATTAAACATCTATGGCCTCGTGTCTGCAAGGTACTGTCCATTCAAATGCAAATTATCGTAAGAACTTACATGAATCTGCCGTAGATTTGCTCAAAGTAAATGAGGATGCCTAAGAAAAAAGGCCAAAGAAAAACACCTTTTATTACTGCATTTGTTAAATGGGGGTCTGCTGCCATCATGCAGCACTTACAGGAAACCGCTGCCACCACATAAACAAGACTGCCCACCATGCTGATCTACGAGTGTACATCCAACGCCAACTGTTGACTTTGGTAAATTTTCCACAATATTTGCACCTATGTGTGTGTGTGTGTGTGTGTGCACACCATAAGGATGACGTGTCGCCGGGGCGAGGTGGCCATCCTGTGATTGGTGGAAAACGCGCGGTCAATCGACAATCTTGCCGATATGGCTAGCGGCCTGTGGATTACAGAAGTTTTTATTTTGCCAAACGGTAGGGCCTGTAGAGGACTGTACCAAGATGATTAATTAATGTTGACATCTACCATCAGGCCTCGCTGCCTGACCTGCATTTAATGTTCCCCATTTCCGGACTAGCCAGAAGTCGGAGTTATGTGGAGGAGCGCGTGCCATCTTTCCGACGCACTTATTCGGAATGGGAATGTAGCGCTACTCAACTTAAAGTAGTGATGCCATTGTATTCCCCCTAAACCTCGAATATGTGTGCCCACTTTGCGGTCACGTAATGAGAAGTGGAAAGAGAAGATCTATTCACAAGTATCCCACTGTCCTGCGTACCTTTCCGAGTGCTGTATATAAACGGCTTCAACGTTGCAGCATAAGAAAAGAAATTTAATTATCTATTCTACCCTTCACGTATATTTTTTACTTGTAGCACCATTTGTGTTGGGGTATAGCTTCAATTGCCCCATCGATACTTTGGACAAACAGTAGTCAACATAATGTCATGGTGCTGGGTGGGCGATTTGTGCCGCCGCTTGTCCTCACGTCCTGCACCGTGTGCAGACCCCATGTATTGCGTGTGCGTGGCATATGTTTCCCGGTCCGCTTGCGGCTGAAACAGGCTGAGAAAATTGCAAGCAAATGCCCATATTTTCCTTGTGGTAAGCACAGATGTTCGACATCGTTTAACACCACACTTTTACGAAAAGACCCACGAGAGGACTTTAAAAAATCCAGAAATTGTCATGTTACTGGGATGTATTTCATTTAAGTAGAATTCTTGGGGCTTTAAGCACCGCACTTCACTTGTCTTAGAGCGTCTAACTAGAGGATGGATCTACTGAATTTAGCCTGTGGGTGTAGCTTCCTCTCCGAATACATTGGCACAAATTCAAACTGACAGTTCTGTTAACAAGAAATTACAAACATCAGCTGCATTTGTAAAGAATGGAAAAAAGCATTTAGGTTTTAAGCAAAAACCTTCCAATTATTGCAGCGACCCTAGTCCTACCCGAGGACCTAATGAGGCACATCGAAGAGGAAAGGGTTTGCTAATATTTAACAAAAGGCATTTCCCTCTTGTTAATGTGAATCACTCGCCAGACAGGAGCGCAAGTGAAACCTAAAATTAGCATTTTAGGTAGACTTCTCCTTAATTCATTTGTAGGTCTACATTCTCTAGATTTTGGTGGATTTCTGACTGGAGGTTGGTTTAGATAGAAATTATAAATGCTAAACTGCAATGTATGTATTCCGAATGCTTATCACATTCATCCCCAGAAGCAGTAGGAGGGTGGGGAGGTTCGTGCCCTCAAGTGATGATACTGAGCCCTGCCTGTCGCAAATACAAAAGTCAGTTCTTTAATTGGCTAAGATCCGGCCTTGATTCATTACCGACCACCAGCTCCATGTTGTGGTTAATGGAGGAAGTTGGGGTGGCGGCAGTGACAGATCTATGATGAGTCGCCTCAAATTGAGCCCTCCGCACTTGGTGCCCACTTGTTTTGATGCTCAGATGTAGCAATCAGCCAAACACATCGAGATTTTGCTCAAATGTCTGGGTAGCTAGTGTCTTACTGCTGTCACCAATGTGACGTCCTGAGACAAGCCTCCGCACGTAGTACAAAACACTGGATTGGAAAAATCTCCTTTTTAATATAGGAAAAGGTTGAGGCGCTAGAAACACAGAAAAGTTTGACCTACAACATTGCTACTAAGTATTACGCGCTAGGGTAGCATGACTTACTGGTATGAATGCAAAAAAGTATCCTGGAGCATTTGCGACATTGGCACAAGAGGAGTCATATTTTAACTTAAAAACAGGGCGCCTTACGCAGTGGTCCACTTTGTCACGAGATGGCCTTGCGTGAACACAGTAGAGCCTATGCTGTCCGGTAACCGGAGCGCCTTGTTAAGCAAAAATTGGACAAACTTTCATCTTCCTGCTAGCATTTAGACGGTGGTACCTGGAGAAGTTTCCAAATAGCATCGGGCCTGCATGAAAGTGCACATAAGCACGCCCCAATGTTGAATTACGGCGTTTGAGTAAATTTCATGCTTAGGATTTGGTTTTAGGTCTTCTTTAAATGGATTTTTTTACAAAAGGAGCAAAACACTGTAATTTAAGAGAAAAACAGTATTAGCCTAACTGTAGCATCCCGAGACTTTTCTGAAGACAAAAGAAGACATAATACTCGGGCAGAGTATATATATTCTCTATAGAGAAGGCACCAGAGCTACTAGCATGGCTCGAAGACCAGCCAACTCGGCATGGTACAATGGTCAAGTCAAAAGTCGCTCTTTACCAAAACCAAAGGTTAAATTATTACGTTATTAAACTATCAGAACACGTCCACAAAAATAATTAAGTCGGTCGTGAACAAAAGAAAGGGTTTGGAAACAAATGTATGGCAAAATTCCTGAATAGATATTAAAACCTTTTTACACAACGCACTCAAACTGCAGTCAACTTCCCTCATTTTGCAAGGCAAATGACGCATCGAATTTTTAATTTTTACGTGCTGCTATTAAAGAGAAATAAAACCTAACTATGCATTGTAAATGGGAGCTGCTTTTGCACATCTTGCGATTGCCAGTCCACCGACACCTATTAATAAGGCAACTTACCTGTAGTACGATAGTGGTTTATCCCTCGGTTTTGGTGAGGCGCCACTTAGGTACTTTCCATTAGCCCCCTTGTACCCAGCTGGGTGGGCTGGCCTTTTGGGCCATGCCAATAGTCCAGACACCTTCTCCGTGCTGAATATATATTCTGCCCGAGTATTTCATCTTCTTTCGTCTTTAGGGAGTCTCGAGACGCTACATACCACTTGCCACTGATGTGATAGCAGTTGGCCAGTGAAGAAGCCAGTCCTTGATTCAAAATGAATTATTATGCTAATCTCCCCATAAGTTGGCTTTTTTTTACCAGTTTCTGCAATAAAGGACTGAAAAACTCAAAAATTTGTAGAGTTAAAAAAGGTGGGTGAATCGCAAACGGAGCTGTGTGGTAATAATTATTGGTTCTACAATAGCATGTAGGTTTGCACTTGTAGTGTGAACTCACACATTCCATTATTTGTTTGCTTCAGTACTTCATTACTGTGCTGCATATAGTAACACGGCTGTTTCTAAAATCGCCGATTTTTTTCTAAAGTAAATCCCTTTTATAGCACCGGCTAGTCGACACAAATGCGACTAAACCGTGTAAGAAATTTTGGGATTGCTACATTAAGTAATGCTACATCTGAATATGGCAACAACCATGGTTACACCATTGTAATACGGTGGTTGCTTAACCCTCAGTTTTGGTGAAGAGCGACTTTTGACATGACCATTGTACCACGCCGAGTGAAATGGCCTTCGGGCTATGCCAATAGTCCTAGTACCTTCTTTTTGCCGAATATATGTATTATGTCCGAGTGTTATATCTACTTTCATCTTCAGGGAGGTCTTGGGGAGCTGTACTATATTTGGCTCCTGAGTTAGGTAAAGCAAGAATGCTTAAAAATATAGGGTTAGACGTAGTGTCTGCAAGTCAACAGTGGTATTCCAATAGATTTTTCTACGGTTACACCGATTTAAATCAAAGTTATCGGAAGGAATAGTACATGTTATAGACAAAGTTCTACTGCGCCTAGTATTTTCAAACCCAAATTTATTGAATTGCTAAAAAAGGCCTTGATTGCTCCAAGATGGGACATGCGAATACTTTCATCAATTTTTCTTATAGTCGATCAAATAAAATCTGTCTGTTCAATCGCTATGTTCCAGCCTCTCCCCAAGGTCGTTGTTCGGTTGTCATCCTCCTTGGGGTAATCCGACAGCATGTAATTTGTTTTGTGGTGCATATTTTTAAGATTTCGCTTAAGTGCGCTTAGGCGCTTGTTTTACTGATGCATTTCATTTAATTTTCATGCTTTCGGGCTGTTCTCTATCTCAGGTAACCCATTTTCACTTTTCCTTCGAAATACCGATCACTCACAAGATTGTATGCCTCTTTTCGCATCATATCTTATTGCACCATATCGTATTATTCCGGTTGTTACATCACGGGGTTTCACTCATTCGTGTTATTTGGTTCAACAAAAGAGCTTGAGTTTTTCTATACGGCTAATTGATAATCTTAAAACAAATAGTGGAACGGTTTTATGGGTGAGATAGTGACCGCTCATAAAACAATGATTAGTGTACCTTTGTTTACATTCACTTCAGTTTTTCAATCCAAAATTCTGAGCAGGAATGCCTATTTTGTGAGAAACTTCAGCAATAAAATTATGCAGGAAACCTCATAGGCAAGCATAAACGCCAGCCATAATATGGAAATTTAACAGAAGAATGATAAGGTCAATGAATTTGCGCTTATATATACGTGCCGGCTTGTGCAGTGCTTTTGAGATACTAAGAATCGTCTGCTTCATCATCATCATTTTAGCTAGAATTGCTCAGCCACTGGCACTGCAATTAATCAAATAAGTTGCCCGTTTGTGCATGACCACATGTCAAATATCGCAGAGTAACCCTTGATGTCTTCTAGTTACCGCCGATCAATTGCCCTTTTAATCCTTACTTCAGGCGTTGTAAGGCAAAAACGCTGTCTTATTTAGAAGAAGTTCATTTATTGTGTCATTATTTTCTTTAAGGCGCATTTCCTTTCGCCGACTTAAGCCGAACCGAATTCTCTCCGTCGCAGCTGTCTTGTTCACTGTTCTGCTTGGGTTTTCATACCTGAACAATTTCTGTGTAAGTTACCTTGTTTTTGACCACAATTACAAAAACCGAATTCATCGCCTACTTCACTTGCCTTGGATGGATTTGATCTTTCCCTGTATGTATTAACAATTTTATAATCTCTACATCACTCATAGTGCCCATACCACGCCAGTTAAGTGCTTTGTGAAATAGTATTTTCTGTTTTATCTCTCATCCTCCGTGTCATGTAAACTCCACCTATCCCTTTCTGTCAATTATTGTCTAACCCTAAATAGTCTTTATTCATGAGGGAATGCACAATCTTTCAAATTCTGTAAATTGTGGCTTTTTAACCTCCTCTTATTGCTTCGGCTACATATAGGATTTGGCAAAATCGAAAAACAACTGCTTGTCGTCAGCTCTTTACCTGTTTTCGATTCTCTAATGGAGCCTATAGCATCCTGGAAAGTGGACAGTCATCGGGGTATAGGTAATTGCCGTCAGTCTAGTCTACTTATTATTTGCGAGTATGGAATCAAGATAACCTTCTGATGCGAATTGTAGCAATGTAATGTAGCGCGTGGACATTGCGCACGTATACGGGGGTTACGTGGTACCTTCCCTATGGTCGCTTACGCTAACCAGTAACTTCAGCTGTGTACAGAATTGAATAGAGATGCGTTTATTTTCGCCTCCTCTAGCTCATATGCACACCCAAGGAAGGTATTGGGCGTCTTTCCGACGGTATCTCCGTTAAGGTGCGTGCAATTCAGGAGGTGGTAAATCCCCCAGAAGTACCACCGGCGTATGATGCGGGACAAGCAGCCTATTTAGACAACTTTGAAATCCCTGACCTCATCCCGGGAGCGGACGGCTTCATCGCTCCTCCGAGTCGAATCGTCAAACTACCCGAGGTGACGATTGAAGAGATCCGCGGTCCTTCAAAAGTATCCCTTCAAGACTTTAATGCGTCCGAAAAGAGGAAGAAAATTAGGGAAGTGAGTGCTGTATTACATCGAAGGCCTTCTGTTCAAGCGTAATTTTTAGCGACGATGGAATTTTTGCTATCCATGGCTCGAGGAATCTGTAGAAAATATAATAAATTTCTATAATTCTGTTTTAGGAAGACTTTTTGAACTTGTTAATCTCTACTTCAAAATGAAATGTAAATCATAATTCCAGCATGATTTCGTCTGAAGAACACAAGGTTTGACGTTAAAAATGATGTGGTCTTGACGCACGGAATAATTTAGAATTCACGTATTTAATAACCTTTTCAAGGATCTTCCCTTTAATGATGTGGATAGGCCTGAGGACTCGAGTACAATGTTCAATTACTTAAATCAATGCTCAACGAATTTGAAAGCCCGTTTAAACGTCTCCTCTTTCTGTCTTCCCTTGTCTTAACTCGAATTTCTTAAAATATGATACGTGTTTGATACATCTCCGAAAAGGAATGCAAAATATTTACATCACAGGGTGTGTTCAACCCATTTACGTGTCTGCAAGCAAGCCCTGTGAAATGCGCTCACTCTTTTTTCTCAGATGACCAAGCATGCCTGGTCCAACTACGTGAAGTACGCCTGGGGTCACAATGAGCTCAGGCCCTTGTCGAAAACTTTCCATGATACGGATATCCTAGGCCGTGTTCCTCTCGGTGCTACCATCGTCGATTCCATCGACACGCTCTATATCATGGGTCTGGAGGAAGAGTATAAACAGGCAGCTGATTGGATTCGGGGCAAACTCGACTTCTCTAATGCGGTGAGTGAAATACGCTTTTCGCAAGATACCATTTGAATGTGGTCCTTTTAAACCCTGAACATTGTCAAAATAGATTGATCATTGTTTAGGTCATTTCCGGGTATAAGGGGTTCTTACCCGGCTCTTTACTTCTGCTATATTTGTTTTTTTACAATTTCACATCATTTCTACTGTCTTTGAGCATATACTGTTTAAAAAATGCTTTAGCAGTAAAACGTACACCAGATATGCGCATTTACTTTTATTGGTTTCGTCACCTACCCTTGCCTACGAATTTCAAAATTTTTGGACAGTTTAGAGGTCTCAAAACTGCATAATTCGCTTAAATTCGAGGTAGTTATTTCGCAGATTGCCTCATATTTTGGTTGTTTGTATCGGTGAATTTTGAACAGTTAGGCGGTCGTATTTTTCCAACTAGGAACTGTATTTGCCTGCACCTTTCCGGATCAAAATTATTTAAATGACTAGACTTTTTTGCAGGTGAAGATGCTAAGCCCTCCCACTTCTTCTTAACAATGATTACTCTGGCATGTCCGATTCTCTGTATCTCGGTAATGCGGTGGTACCTTAATGGAATGTACGGGAAGGAGGAAGAAAGACTTCATTTTGGTAGTCCGTAATCGGGTGTATGGTTTTGATCAAGATTCTCTCACTGCCAACACAGTTCTTTAGCCCTCTACTAATATCCAAAAGCCGTTAAACTCAACCGGTTCACAATACTTTCACAGCACGGACAGATGTCATGCGGGGCAGAGCGCTTCCATATCAAAATCATTTAGGGTGTGTGATGGAGATTTGTCGCCTTTTATTTTATAGGCTGAGTTATCCAAAACTTTTTTTCTTAACCAATGAGTGCTCTTGACTCACAGGTGTTTGCCACTTCAAAAACCTTCCAGGTGGTGAGAACATGTCGTACGTGCTTGTATGGTAACAAAGGAAAACTCTATACATCCCGTGTCTGCTTACACTGAACGCCCAGTCAGGAGAAAGTGATATTTACATGTTCATTGCACGTGCTTGAAACCTAGTCGGAACTAAAAATTGCTACTGAATGGATGGCTCCAGATGTCACCTAGTCAATACTCTTAGCTTGCCTACCACACTTACGTCCACCTCATTTGTGTGGCTGTGGCGTTTATAGGGGTGCACGGGGAAGCATTTCTTCGGTTTTTTTGCGCAGAAACTGGATTATTTGTAGTCCGGTAATATTTTATGAAAGCCTTATTTGATGGCTTCAGCCTGCACTCTTTTATCGCAAGGATGGCTTTCGCTATGTACTTTGTAAAATGGGTGTAATCCATCGTTGATCGCACAATCTCGGTGACGAAAGTCTACCGTTGTTCCCTCCCCGTAATCCTTATTCAGTACTCTTCCCCCTGCTACTAACGGCTCTAATCTTGATGAAATGCAACCTTTGTCCCCTTCTTTTTTGTAAAAGTTATTAACACAGAAGTGGTTGTGATTTTGCGCCTAGTTTGAACGTAACACGTTTATCATTATTCAACTTATATGTGATCTCCCGATTTCTCCAACTCAACTTGGGGTCTAAGTGTGTGACCTACGTTCTTTATCAGGTTATGCTAACTGGTTACACAGAGTTATGGCACCAGCCGATTACTTAAATTCAAGAATCAGCGAAGTAGGTTGTGGAACGTTTTTGGTTTGAGAAGCGTCACAACTTTAAACAGAGCACTAAAACATGGTGGCCATTTTTAATTTGAGACCGAGATAGCGGGTGTTTTAAGCACCAGATGGAGGTACTGTTTCAAAATTGATCTATACAAGAAAAGCTGGTTGCGTTTTTACCGCTGACTCACTCTAGCCTGCAAGTTGAATCAAATGATCTTAACAACAAGCAGTGTTGTTTGTTTTCTTTTCGTTGAGTGGGACTAATGCAATCTCTATCACCATCCACGCTGCCCTCTTTGATTAAAAGAAATGTTGAATTTAGTTCTTTCTCTTCATTTGCACGACCTCTTTTGGCATACAATTTTGATGCCGTGGAATTCTGGCGTATTTCGCCATATTCTTCAGTGCAATTGCTGTTTGTACCATAAGGCATAGTTTCGTATGAAGACAAAAAACTACACTGCTTAAACAACAATCTGAAGATACTTGAACTTCTTTTGTGCTACCAATCCAAGGTTGATTGATAATTAGGCCTTCCTCTGGGCTGCAATGCTACTTTTTTTGATTCCACTTCTCTTCATAACCGCTCAATCTCACTTTATGCATCACATGGTAATACTTAATTCCCTTAAACAAGTGGAATCAACTTATTCACCAAATTCCGAGGAAGCGTTTATTTTTTCGCCATCTTCAAGATGATTTGCTTAAAAAGAACTTCTAAATTCTTGTCGACAGCTTCACAGCCTACTCTCACATTTAGCCACACTTCCTGCCTAGGTGAATTTACCTGGAAAACAGAAACCCCATCGTCAAACATTTTTGCACGGTCTTTTTTTCCAGCCGAGCTGAGGCGAAAATACTTCGCCGTATTGTTTTGCAGTTGGTGGCATTCCTTATTCTGTAAGCGTAAGGTCGCACCACGTTTATTGCAGGATACAAATTAAGAACTTTTCCATTTTCTGGTCTAGCCAACTGAGGTTTCGGTGTTTGAAGTCACAATCCGGTTCGTTGGTGGCCTCTTGAGCATTTATTCAATGACGAGAGATAAAGTGAGTGCTGATATTGTTCCTGAGTCATATCACCACTTTCCCCTTAATGCGAATTTGAATCTCGCTCTTGTTTTAAATGGGTAGTAGTACCCCTTGTTACCTGCCACCGCCAAGTTTAGCACGGTTCGCTCTTCTATTCAAGAAGGCATATCGCTATCAATTCGTCTTCGAGTGTGCTATTTTATACACAGATTTGAATGTCATACGTCTGCTGACACCTTTGAAATTAATAAGCAACTAGCATTGCCACTTTTATTGCAAAAATAGACCTATTGAATAAAACTAGTGTTTGTTTTGCAAACCAAGAATGTCTGTGAATCCACTTAGATGCCTTGCCAAATCCCACAGTCATGAATTAGCGAGTTAATTCATCATCTGGTCCTTCTTGTTGACCGGATGGGGCAGTAAATAAGTGTCATATTTTATGCGTGAAATGGAACAAGTGTTTTCTTACCTTGCTCCAGTGATTTGTCACTTTTGTGTGTGCTTGTGTCTTTTGTGGTGTGACCTTGACTTGCCGGCATTTCGGGTACCTTGACAGGCTTTTCTTGATCGCTCGGTTTCCATTCTAAACAACTTGCTACCCGCGTTCGATGAAAAAACCGGTCTTCCAGCCTCCCTGTTCAACCTTCGGACGTCAGTCATTTTCTTTCCGTTTATTTGTTTACACTGTTATTATAGTTATGCAAAAGGTATAAAAATAGTAGTGGAAAATACTCAAACACCTTCAACACGATCGTTGACAATATCACATGTATCACGTATGTCACAAACAAATTGGTTGAGTTTAAAGGACTAAAATAAACGTAGATTTATCTTTATCTGTGCATAATTGCCTTTTTTTCTAGTTTTTGAGCAATTCACTTTCGAATGGAGCAATTAACCGTGGTGATCTGTTTTTCCCCGACACTGAGAGCACTAGTGTTACAAAATTGGCAAGAGCATCGCAGCACCGATCGCCGAATGTATGGATAGGCTATAAAGAATATTTCATAAGTAGTTTGATTCGAAATTAGTCGTAGTTTATGTCAGTATTTGTTCTCTGTTGACTCATTCAGTTTGGACAGAATGGTCAAGTGTTACTGCGTTAGATGAACTGTTATTTGGGGTCAAGTCGGTTCTGTGCACTGCAAATCTGGTTGTGCATCTCTAAAATTTTTCTCAAAACCCTGCCGAAGGCGCGTGACCCGACTTTAGGTGCTCAGAAACATCAAAAGATGCACGAGTGATACTAACAAGCAAGTCCACCCACTGGCTCTCATTTCAATCTGCCCCATTTTAAGTCGGGCGTGCTCAATTGTGTACTCAGTAGCTGTAAATTTGTATTATTAATTTGCATTTTTGGTTTCCTTCATGCAGCAAGAATCGTCGCAACTACAATTGGGCGAGCAACAAGTGTCATATTCTCTCCGAGATTGGAACACTCCATATGGAATTCCAATTCGTCTCTGAGCTCACTGGTGATCCCAAGTACAGTAAGATAGTATGTCAACATTCGGCTCTGTTTTCTTGTGCGACTCAATTCCCCAGGCTTCCTAAATTCAGGCATCGTCAGGGAAATTTGCGGGTGATTGGGTGCTCTAATCGCTGTTAAATAGAGCTAGGAAGAACTGATCAACGCTAGAGTTACATTCGAAAAGAAATCTTACTGCTTTGGAAAATTCTTTTATGTAAGCCTATTTTGGAACTACTTTTCTAGCCTTTATCCATTTCGTTACCTCTAAAACTTGTCAACGAAGGATCTCGTCGTGAATTTCTACTTTTTTTAATCAAAAGAGCATATGTAAAACCCATTTTTGTCATTGTGATGAGCATGCGTATCATTGTTAATACGATAGGGTTGGGTTGCACCGTCTTATAACTACAAACAACCCATCTTCGATATCCGTAGACCACGTGTAAGTAGCCTCCAAAAATAGATACATTTGCTGCTTTCTATCCGAAGTTATTGCTTACATGTTGTAATGTTCGAAAGAATACGCCTACATGTGCCCACTGCAACGCAAAAACCATGCCGTGACGACAGGAAGCATGGCGACAAAAAACATTCTAGAATGACCTCATCTTGTTCCAGAAAATGTTTTCTGTGCATTTACACCCCGGGGCCATGCCATGCTTATCACATGTCTTGCGGCCATGCAGCCTCGAATACACACCTATGGTGTGGCTGCCGTATCAGTCTATTTTTTCACTTCACTTGACGTTTCCATTTATTCAGTCGTGATGTGGAAGGCTGTTTTATTGTCCATCAATAATGTTACCACATAATTCATACATGACCGAAAGTGGCTTTTGCAGAACTTAATTGTGCATCTTCAGATTCTATGTGATCAATTTCCCCTAACTCTTTTTCACATTATGACTCTGGGGCTTTAGCTAATGTGATTTCGAGTGAATCACTTCAGGGTAATTGGGATCTCTTTTCTTACTCCAAGCGCTTTTTTGTCATTATTTGCAAACCATGCAGGTGAGGGCTAGAGCGGATTCGGATATATTTGAGACCATAATGCGGTAAATATCGGGTTTTCAAGTCCTTGGTTGTCTATCAAACTTTTTTCGAGATCTACTGTTAATTTATATTAAAATGTTAATGCAGATATTCCCAAGGGTATGCATTTACCTCCCTTTCCTTTCGTGGTTTTTCATAATTTATTAACCATATAATACTGTTTTATACTCCTTAAGTGGATGATTCGTAGTCCAGGAAAGCTACGACTTTCTCGCAGGTGGCCTGCTACACGTATTCCCCTTTATTTCTCCTAATCAGTCGCCTTTTAGTTAAGATTATGGCGATTTAAGTGAGACATTGACATAATTGTTCCCTCTGCAGTAACTCGTACGAGGTTGCTTTCATTATCCCACCCCTATGCCACTTTTTGAAGGTAATGATATTTAAAGCACTCGTAATAGCTTATATTTCACAAACCAGTCTCAGTTATTGTACTTAAGTCAAATTATCCATCTGCCTGTAATCGGAACAGCCTAGGTTAGTTTTTTTCCTTGGCTTTGGTCGGTTAGGTTCACCGAATTAGAGACTACATAGATGCAGCCTCCAAGGTCTCTGGCAATCAATTTCGCACCCATGTGAGCGCCCAGCAAGAGGTCTTCTGCAACCGCCGAGTGACACTCTCCGGCGAGGGCGACTCCTTTTTCGAGTACCTCCTCAAGGAGTGGATCCGCACCGGACATGCTGATACCAAGGCTCGCGAGCTCTACGACCGCTCGTTGGAGTCCTTCGAACACCTCGGTATGCTTCGCACCAGCAAGGCAGGCAGTTTCTACGTCACTGATTCGCAGCACGGCTCGCCCGGTAACACTATGGATCATCTCGCCTGTTTCGCTGGTAGGTGATGGTTTCGGGAACCGTACTCTCAATCCGTATTTCCCACCCCTATCTAATCCTCCGACTTGAACACAACCCAGGTGGGATGTTCGCCCTGGGTGCAGCAAAGCGGGACGCGAGCGACATGTGGTTCCTTCGTGGCAAACAGCTGACGGAGACTTGTCACAAGTCCTACGCTCAAACGGAGACAAACTTGGGACCCGAATCCTTTCGCTTCACCAACACCTTAGACGCGGTAGGAGTATCCACCAATGAAAAACACTACTTCCTTCGACCCGAGACAGTAGAGTCGTACTTCTACATGTGGCGGTTCACCCATGATAATGTGTACCGCGAATATGCTTGGGACGTTGTTCAGGTGCGCGTTTGCCGATTAAGAGGTTTTGGAACCTCCTTCTTTCTTGCATTTTTGCTTTTTTTGGTATTTTGTCTTTACAAAAAAGTCTTTGGCTGCTAAGTCGCTTTTATTCCCACCTACGTAGTACGCGTGTTTACATGACCAATAATTTTCCCTGGAATGGTACACTTGGTTTGCACTAGAAACATCCTAGTCCAATCGGGGTGGGCATATAACTGCAGTTGGAGTCTGTGTTGGGAAATAGATGCAATCTTGGTTCCTTCGTTTCTCTTTCTCTTGCCATCAAAAGTCTAGATTTGGCTTGAAAGTCACTCCTAGACTAGAGACCTCTTAACGGCGTAGTCTCACTATTGTCGCTATCGTGATCTAGGCCCTTGAGAAGCACTGTCGTTCGGAGGGCGGTTTCTCGGGTCTGAAGGACGTAACAAGTGTAACCCCAACTCAGGATGACGTGCAGCAGAGCTTCTTCCTAGCCGAAACACTAAAATACCTCTACCTAATCTTCTGCGATGATTCGGTGCTGCCACTAAACCGATGGGTCTTCAACACTGAGGGTCATCCCTTCCCTATCATGTCGAGGTCGACTGCATGAACCCTCTGAGCATGTCTGTATGTGTCTGTGTCTGTACAAGCGCACACTCTTTCACTGTTACATCTTTTTTTGTAATTTTCTTTTATCCTCTCCCTACTCCTCCTCCAGCGTACCTGTTCATTTCTTTGGCTGGCGTCGAATAAGCCCCACTATGCAACTGGTCAACTGATAGATGAATATGTTTGAACTTAGAATTGGGCTGCCGTTCTACTATGCCTCCAAAAAGTATCCCAGAGCATTTTTTTCAAGCTCTTAGTTGATTATGATGCAAACTTCAGTTCTTCAAGCTAGTCAATAGTTGTGCGATTTCATAGCATAATTTAGATTTGCGTGAAAGCTCTACTCTGGTTCGTTCGTTTCTTGAAATGAGAGTCAATTGGCAATACCAACCGCTTTGCTGCGAAAGCCATTCCAATGCAAACGTTTTTCTTGCTTAATTATTGCCTTCTTAGGGATACATTCCATAGGTCAGTTACATTTTATTTCGGGCTTGTCATTTTTTGACCTACAAGTGCTCTAATCGACCATCATTCAATTGTAATTATGCAGATATGTGGTGAATTTTTCCCTCTAGAGGCGAAATCGAGGAGTTTCGGAGGCGTATTTAGGTTAATTACAATAACAACCCCAGAAAACATACCCGTTAGTTATGGAGGTTTTTTTGCGGAACTTGATTCCCCCTGAACATTCTAGAATTGTCCTTGATTCACACCCTCCTTGAGGCCTCCTCATTGACCAACATAAAGTGAAAATTAGCTCTGTGCATCTATAATCACGTAAGGTCAAGGCCGTTTAAAATACTACAAGTACGTGAGAGTGAGAAGAATTCATGAACCACTATGCATGTATCTTTTTCTAGTTGTACATGCGTTGACGCTACTAAAGATCCAGTTTTTCTGACTTCTTATTTCTTGAATGCCTCGGTTGGGATCTCGATAGCGTCTATGTTCACTCAAATGGGCACCAGTATGTGGCGTGAATAAATGCATTTCCTAGAGGAGGAAGTACGTATTCCGCATTTTGTATCAAAAGGTGTGTTGCTCCCAGTTAATCCGTTGGATGAATCATTAACACTGCTCCTTCGGGTGATTAAAGAGTAGCATGGAATTCGTGGAAGGAAGGGTGTCTAATTTTTTCCCCAGAATTCCTTAATATACATTAGTGTGCCCTGTTAATAGTGCGACCAACCTGGAAAAAGGCTAGTTTTGGATGTAGGAGATCGCAGCGATTGAAAGGACAGCTGTTGCTGTATGCATTCGTTTTGTCGCGCTCCATCAATCTAGATCTACGCCAGCTTCCCTCAGAGGCGTTGTAAGAAGCAGGAGCTAGTGTAGAATGTTATTGTAAACGTTTAAAAGGGCCAGTGGGTTACAATTACAAACGGAGCGCTCAGCTCGACACCACAGAGAACAATGAGATGGCAAATTTAAACAGGTAAATATCACCTGCTTGACGTACCGTCTTTTAGCCAATTCCAGCAACCAAGCATTTTATTGCTTCAGATGCCGCGAAATTTTCCAAAACAGCAGATGATTTAGGAAAAGAGTATGAGTTTAGATGTCAAAGTGCTCGCTGACGTGGATCTTAAAGTACTTCATTTTCAGGTAGGAAATGGTCCCATTGTTTTCCAATGCCAACTGTGCGCAAGAGTCTGAACAACCGTAAATAGCACTTATGAATGTCAGGCATTTTCGTAGTAGTACCAAGTGAAGCCAGTGGTATAGGCACACGGGGTTAACTAGAAGGCGCCATTTTTGCCTAGTTATTCGTAGATCAGGCGGCAAAACAATGCGCACACACAATCCTCCCTGGAAGTAGAGCATTCGTGCACTGCATTTCGACTGATATTATATCTGCATCGAACTGCATGCCCATGTACAAAAACGTCTTAATTGCTGAGACAATAGACACGACTTTGTTTTGCCTCGAATCAGGGCAAGTGTCTCCGTACCCAGCTTGAATGGTTGGCGATTATATTCTACTCATGAGTTATTTGTAATATCCTCCTGTCAAATCTGGATATCTTTTCCTACGAAAATTGTGAATTTCATTGAGCCGTAAAATACGTAGAGTACTGTTCCACTTAAACGGTTTCGTAATACTCGTCATCGTGTTTTAACCTTTCAAATCCTTCATTAGATGAAGAAAATTCTTTGTTCGAGGGCACGTACTGGTATGTAGTGAGCGATGCAATTAAGGAAACCTACGCCGGAACAGGTAGATCTTGCATAGGCGACGTCGACATGGCCGGGGACAGGCAGTTTGAGGCTATTCGCGCCTTATACCTTCAAAGAACGAGCGTCTTTTTACTTATTTTCCCATTCCACCATAAATATTACAATGAATTATTCCGGGGTAATTGTATTTACTCGACTGTCTTAACAAGAATTGGGATTTTAGGGGAAAAATATATTTAGTAAATGGATAAAATACAAGTAAGACGCAATTGACGGAAATGTAGCGCGTTGCTCGTTTAACTCTTCCTTTCTGATCTTCAAACCCCGCAAGAGAACCGGTTTATTCGACATCAGCATGCTTGTTAGTCAACCTTAACGAAGATGAGTACAGGCTTAGGGAGGTCTGGGTTCTGAATTCACCTCTGCCTCGGGGAAAACTGACTACTTCACCATTACGAGGGTAGAGTTCTCTGAAAGGTATATTTAAGCAATACAAGTATTATAGGAATATTGAACGAGCGATTTTAAGGTGTTATGTTACCTTTCAGGTTTAAGCTTACCCTGAAGTTCAAAGGACGGGCTCGAAATGGAACAGTGGTCATAATACTTGGGGTCGTTTTCTCGTTGCGCACATACCGACCAACTTTTACCTTAAGGTCAATGTCACGTCGGCACTCATGACCTCAGTCATCGTAAGCGAAGTGTGTCAGCCAACTGCACCACTTAGTCGCGTGTTTAGACACCGTAGTAGAGAACTGATGCAAAACAGATCGTATTTCTCCAACCGCCAGTCACACGACAGCTGGAAGGAGAAAAAAGCGGGGAAAGGCAATGGGGTGAAGAATTTGGGTAAATGATGCCAGGAAAAAGGCAAGGCGTGCGAGTCGGATGGACGAGATGTAGAATAAGAAATGAAAGAACATGAACGGATAGAGATTGGGCAAACAAGAATAGGGAGGCGAGGAAAGAAGAGAAGAATAGGGTAACCAATGATGTCACTACTACTTCCTGTCGTCACAGTTACGTGAGGCGCAGTGTGTAACTGTAGCATGGTGAATTCACGTGTTGTGATGTGGGTGGTGTGGGAAAGTTACAGCAATGGATCTTATTTGGGATACGAAATCCACTTATTCTTATAGCTCTCAGGTAAATAATGTATACTGGGTGTGGTAGGATTCACTTACAAAGCTTATGCAATTAGATATTTCAAAGACGCCTGCTAAACGTAGTCGACCTAAAATATTATTTAAATCCCTAATATCTAGTTGTAATTTACGAAAGATTTATCCTGCACTTGAACTTTAAAGATGTTCGTTTTAAGAAGGTGTTCCGAGTGCAATAACACTCTCCAATCCCGGAAATGCCCTAGTTTGATGAGAGTACGGAAGTCTGAAATTCACCTAAGGCGCAGGGCACGAAAAGTTTGCGCCAGAGTGCACAGCCCTGACTGTGAGTGACGCGCACCACCACGAGGCGGTCGGAATGTCACGCCTGAATGAACTCCGACTCCACTGGACAGACCCATGTATGGCGGACGACAGCAGAGGTTGTGTTCATTTTATGATGGGTTCACGGTAAGCTACAATTTTATTTACGTTAATTGGCAATAAAAAATTTGAGGCTTTTAAACTCCGAAAATGGGTGATATTTGAAGGAATTCTTAGTTCAATAACCAATAATCCCTTTGGTGTTTCCCCCAAAATTGCCAGCAAAACTAAACCAAAATCAAATTCAATCCTTTTATTGAGCTACTTATTCCCCAAAATTGGAGGCGATGACCATAAATACGCATGGCGGATTAAATGTTATACTTTAGCCTACAGCAAGCGAGCCAACCTTTTTCTTTGAAAGATATGAATGGATTTGTAGTTTAAGGGTTATTATTTATCAATCAATAGGTAAATTGAATATACAAAAGTTAGATTTCGGCTATGAAATACACGTTCGTTTGCATGCAACTTTTAGGTGGCGAGCAGGCTGGTTGGATAAACCTTCTGACCGGGAAGGTGCCGTCAATCTCCGAGGATGAAGCAAATTCTTGATCCCTTGTAAAGCCTCTCGGTATTACGATACATGATGCTTCTCTCAAAACAGTCATCTTAATTCAGATGTCTGAAACCGGATGTAGAAGGTAAAACAGTGGAAACACTATGATCTTGGCTCATCAGTCGCACAAAAAGATGTCAGCAACCCTTTCCATTAGACGATACTTAGGTAGCATTCTTAATCAAAGCGGTAGGGGAGCTGTCATTAATCCGGTTGCAAAGCACAACAAGGCAGAACAATAAAGTGCCTAAGCATCGTCAGGTAAGTAATGAGTCTATTCTTTCATTTGTCCCACCCGAAAAGTGGTAGCTTCGTAAATGCTCTTGCACGAGTTGTGATACTTGTGTTGCTTAAATGTACCCTTCAGGTGGGAAACGATCAGAGAACCATAACCTCGTAATGGTGAAGCTGCCATTTTTCCCCGAGGCGGAGGCGAATTCAAAACCCAGATCTCCCTAAACCTGTAGTCATCTTCGTTAACGCTGATTAACAAGCATGTTGATGTCGAATAAACCAGTTCTTTTGCGGGGTTTGAAGATCAGAGAGGAAGAATTAAACGAACAATGAGCCACAGAATACTGAACAGTATCGCACTACATGGCTTTCGACGGCTTGGTTTTTAATTGTTTTAAAGGGCATGCTGAGCTGCAAAATCAGTAACAACCCGCAATCAAAATCAGGTCGTAGGTACTACTTCTCGTTTAAAATTCCTGAGCTGAGGACCATTTTGTGTCTTAATTCGATGGCCTAACTACTACTTTAGTGCGAAAACTTTTATTCGATGATCAAGTATAAAGAGAAAGTAGTGTAGCAGCCTAGATATTGAAGTACAAAACTATTTATGTTCTAGGGTAAAGTGCAAAATTATTTATTAAAAGAACTAGATCGACCAAACGTAGAATAGTAGAGTTTTTCGGTAAAGGTATGATGTTGATTAAGCGTATATGCAAACAAGTCATTGGATACGCCCCGCCAATAGTGACAATCAAAAAATAAATACAAATCTAAAGCAGCCAGGATCTTAACTTAGGCATGGTGTTAATGAGATTTTGCACAATATTGCAGAAATTCAGTCACTATATAGAGGCTCCGCCACAAGAATAAGTTTGTGTATGTCTTGTCAGTTGTGCAAGCACCATATTTTAATTTTATTCAAGAATCACTTCTATCGACTTTTAAAAGATTTGGTGGTAAACCGCGTGATTCATGTTGTCAACGTGATATCGTGCAGGGATGGCCTGCTTGCACCGAGAAGGTGTCAAATTAAAGTCATCCCATGATAGTTCGCATGCCATTTGCATTGTTTGTTTAGTTGAATGCTTGACTGATAAGAAGAAACACGTGACAGAACGTATTGAATATGGAAAATCCTGTTTGAATTTATTAAATCAGCCGATCAGTAAACATTCCACACTTAGCCAGAATGTTCAGCTGTTTATTACAGCATTTGGGGCGTTATGGAGTACAACAAATTAATTTTAATCACTTTAGACACATATTTGGTCGAAAGGGATGCTTATGCTACTCTCCTGATGAACAGTGTGTCCATTGTTGTTAATACTATTTTACAGTTATATCCGCATTGCTTCGCCATCTGACCATTGACCAGAGCTTATTAACAGCCATACTATCTCCTTTGAGGTCTGTTCTAGTGAGTGGTCTTGGTGTTATTATTTTCAAGGACACTGACGAATTCGACCTTAGTGGGAAGTGTAATGCGCTCATTCTTTTGGCCGATGTCATCGAAAATCACGAAATAGTCGCTGATAATGCACCAAGTGAGTCTATTATTATTCGTTTATCCGCCAAGGCATGATATTTGAATGCATTCTGCCACAGCTAAGCGTTGGGAACCAAACTCTCCAGGGAAGTGCAGCCTACTGTCTTGGCGTTCTCTTGAGGCATATGGATTGTTTGGACTACGTTTCTGTTTCATACTGCTGTGATATTCTGCTGGATTTTCTATGTGACCCTCATGACGATGTTACAATCTCTGAGAATGCATTTGGTAAACTGATTGAATTCAAATTGCAGTGTCTAGAGTGCATTCGTTTGGTTTTAAAGTTTCCTGAGTCACTAAACTGTATCATCACGAACCCTAAGTTCCCAATAGTGCTTCGTCTCTTTCTCAGTTCACACAAATCTAGTCTTCGTTGTGCTGCACTTTCCTTTCTTGTGATGCTCCTATCTGATGAGCAAAATGAGAATATCACTCTCTATTTACACGAAGTGGGCATTTTAGGTAGGGTTTATTTGGGCTCAAATTTTGTTTTCAACCAAAAGAATTCGTTTACGATTGCCTTTCAAGCGAGCTGGATATTGCCAAGTAAGTCTACTTTTTCTTCATATTCTTCCAGGAATGCGTTGACTCTTTTGAAGTTTGTGGCAAGTTCTACCTGTTTAATGTCAAAAAATGCGATATCCTACGGTGTGTTTTGTGAATTTCTTAGTTTTTACTAATCCACAGTTCTAGAAAAAATACTTGGGGCTAAGGTTGATAAAAAAGATGAGCCGGTCTATCGGAAGACATCTATGGCAGTTCTTGAGCGCATATTCAGGATGTATGTTGACTGAACTTCCCCGTAATAGGTCTCCCTTCAGGTATACTGGGTCTGTTGACCTGTTTTGCAGTCTAAGCACTATCGAGAACTTCTTTGTTTTGATCTACACAGAGCTTAATGATCTGGATTCGAGTTTTAATGAAACTTCAAGGTGTTTTTGCAACTTCTTAAAGTAAAACAGGGTTGCATCAGTCCTCTTTTCTTCATAGATCGAAACAGCTCTTCCGACCCTTTCCTCTTCAGCTATTTACGGACTGCGTGATAGCCTATGGAGATCGTCTTAATCAATCAATGTGCCAGCTGAAATCAGTCATGGGAAACATTCCTGACATTGCTCCATTTTCTGGTGTTAATTTGAATGAAACACAAAGAAAAATTGAAAATGATGTGTCGAAATCGTTGACAATTGCGATTAGTGTACAAATCCACCTTGGAAAGTAGGCACTTTTTTGTCAAAGTTACTCTCAGTTTGTTATTGTTTTTGAGCGAAGACTTTGAGGATGATGTATCAAACCAAAATTTACTCTCAGTCTACAGCAGAACTTTAAACTCACTTTACTTTTTGCTTCCAATGGAGCTTATTTGGGTAGGGAGGCCCCGTTTTGGATGGTAATTGATCGCCCCTAGAAAATGTTTTCACGGGAAAGAGCTCCAGCTGAAATTTTGCAGGGGATGCTCGTTCTTACAAGAAGAGTGTTGAAAAAGGGCTTTCCACACTCAGAAATGATCGAGTGTGGTGCTACGTGTTGGAGTAAAGCTACCTCGTATTCACACGCTCTCATTGATACTAACATTCGCACGGTCTTCAAGATAACTATTCCCTTGATCATTGACACTATGTTACGTGCCAAAAATTCCGCCAATTTACTTGGGAAACAGGACCATGTTAGCATAGGTGATGAAACGATAAGGTGGGAATGATTGTTGTACATGATGTGAATTGAACTTTTTAAATCAGTGCTCTTTTAGATCCGTTTGATTCAAAAACATTTTTGCTCAATTTGGCGCAACTTACTGCCTACGTGATTGCGACTGGATGCCTCAGTTTTTCGGATGATGCATTGGAAATTGCAGACCATTCGTTTTACCCAGAATGCGAGAGATTCTGGGGCTTGGTTCTTGGTGGCATCTCCCGAGTACCAGGTAATGTTTACTTCGCTTCAGATAACTGCAAAATTCGGGAATGACAAACTAGCAGCTGTGTCATTCTTAGTTATCACATTCCCCACGTAATACGATTTGCACTGCGCTGTTTCAGGAGGTAGTGTCGAAACCGTTGCCCTACTCCTTGATCATCTATGCTGCCAAACAATCGAGGACTCAGAATCGGATGCCGGAAAAGTGTTACCGGCAGCTGTGATAGTCGCCACCTCATTAGTTCATTGCACTGAGTTTTCGATCGCCGAATGTAAAAGCTTAGAAATCCAGGAGAGGTAAGTTTTCAAACATAACGCCCTAATTTTCAATCGTTTATTACCCTTCCTAATATAAAATCTCCTAAAATACCCATTTGCCCTCAGGATTACCAATCTACTTTCCGGTCTCTACAAGTGCATTCTGCGAGCTGGTTTGAGGCGCTTTCAGGAGCTGCCTTCTTTATTTGCCTTTGAGTGTTTGACGACGTTAGCGGTAAACCCAGCTTTGACGCACGATCTCTAGGTTAGATAATCAAACGCATTGGACTGCAGTGGTCTTCTATTTGTACACAAGGTATGTTAGCTTACCATCGACTTCACTGGACCTTAGTCTCGTGTTTGCTTATTGAAACACTTCTCTATCGAATATCTGTCATGCAAACATCTCTACTGCTTGGAATTCAAGGCTTTTCCGAGCTTCTACTTTTGGGAGAGCCGGCTTGGACCGCCTTGGCTCAAAAGATAGTAAGTCCGTCAAGTTTATGCCCCGTTGATCCGAACGATAACTCATTGGATTTTCTTATAGACATATCATTGTCACTCACATGAGCAGCTAGCAAGCCTGGACTTAATATGGAGGCTTCCAGTGAATTACGAGTTTCTTTCACTAATTTGGGTAAGTTTGATACCGCTACTCTGTCAATTTTTTTCGCTTAAATCACCGATTCCTTACATGCTTCTATAGTCCGTTTGGTTTCCATTGCTTCACGACCTTGGGCAACAGAACGTGGTTCGACGGCTTAGTGAAACCTTCGAGAATGGTTATAAGTCAATTAAGGTGAGTTGGACGCGTTGATTGCCAAATTGCAAATTCTTTAACTTCATAAAAGGTTATAGATACTATGTTTCCTGCTGGTTCATAATTTTTCACACCTCAGTATGTGCAATAAGCGATTTCCCGCCCCATTCTTTAACTTTTTGTCAAATGGGTTTTACGCGTTACCGGCAGACGTATCTGTCAACTTCAAAATGAAAATGTGTCACAAATCAAAGTATTTAAATGACTGGTAATAATTGGCACTCCGCTTCACAACTAACTATGAGCATTTTATATACTTGGCAAGACTTTGGGGTCCGAAACCCCCTCTACTTCCAACCGTTTGGCTGGTTTAAATTTGTACTTTAGCGTTCAAGAGCGGCCTTGGATGAGGGAGCAGCCTCTGAGGGATCGGAGGAATTATCGCATTCTATTGGAACTGAACGACTGGCGTTATTTGTGGCGGAACAGTTGTTAACTCTTCCCACTAAATTGGAGGTCCCAGCCAGTACCCTATTCTTCCAGTCAGGTAAGTTTCTACGGCTGTCGATTCAGTTATTCCTTGGCAAAGTTTTGATTTGGTTGTATTCGAAATAGATTTGTCGATTTGTGCACACTGATAGGATTTTAGTCTAGCTAATAATCACTATTTAAGTGATTTTGGCCCAATTTTACCTTTTAAGTCGGTTTAAAGGGCTTTGTTCTGGGTTAAAGTCTGATGAGATGATAACTTTTTGGCTTTAGATATCCAATTGCGTTACCATTTCACATTTTTATACTTTTAATCAAATTTTCAGCTTCACTAACAACTACGCTTTTGGTGCTGTTTAATGGACTTTTTCATGGCCTATCAACTCTTTTTTGTATATAAAGTCAGTTGTATTTATTTACCTAACTGCTAGGTTATTTGTCATGATATTTGTCCGCAAGGTGCCTCTTATTTCACACTCTTAGATGCTTTTCGGGTAAATTTCCTTCGTATGCTGACTCTTGTCGTGCGTTTGGACAATTTGTTCCTCAACCGTACCTGTCTCAACCGATTTGTTGAAATAGGTGAGTGAAGTGAAGACTTGTGTGTTTGAAATCGTTGACTGATTTGTTTCGGTGTCATCAACCTTTTAGGTTATTTGGATTTTAAGTCGTTGGTGCTTTACCAATAATCTATTCAAACCATGTCTCATTTAGGATGGGGATGTGACGGCCTGTGTCAAAGTGGAAGGTAATTAATAACAAATGCCGTAGTTTGGTGAGCCCTGGATAATCATTAGTCATCAAAAATAAATTTAGAATCACGTGAATTATAGTAAAAGATTATAGTGAGTTAAAAAGTGGTCACTAGAGGTGTAACGTCTACACCTCGTCTAAAAATACGTGGGAATCACGTAATTATTTATTCTCTTCTTAGTATTCACAGCGCATTGCATTTTAGTCGTTTCTCTCCTGACGGATTCAAGATGTGAAGCTTCTGGAAATCTCCTTCATTTGTTGAAGATTCTTAACACCTGTCTCTTGATGGCAGATGAAATCGCTCTAAGTCAAGGTGATTCTTCCCTTCTCCTCTGCTTCATCGCAATTATATTAACTTATGGGAAATAATTTAGTCGGCCAATATAAATTGATGGTTCAAGATTGTAACACAGTTTGATTACAAATATTCTACGGAATTTCAGTTGTTGTAGTTTAGGTGTCTAAAAGCAACGTGGAAATGTCTTGCACAAATTTTACTTCTTCCTCAAGTCTGTTGAATATAGGTATCGCATAACTGGATTTCCCACTCTAATTAACTGATCCACATCGTTTCGTATTTTGCTGGTATTTTCCGATTTTGGCATCTGTGCTACAGCTTACTGCATGGCTCATTTTAGTCACTCCCCACATCGTTGAGCGAGTTAGTGCCATCAAAGCCTCCTGGATGTACGCACAGCGTTCGATCGTGAAAACCTCAAGTTGCCTTCTATTGGAGGAAGTTTGTGTGCTTGGCACGTTGCTAATGTTTGGGGAGGGTCCCAGTGGGCTCTACATGAATATCACCCCATTCAGAACAAAGGATAAAGAAGAAGTTTATTGTGTAAGTCAAACTCATCTAAATGTACATAGGGAGGCAAAATGCATGCTGTACTCTAGATTTTTCGGCGAAGTTATCGCTAATGATAAACGTGAGCTGATAGTGTGTGTCCGAGTAACCAGCTTTTAAATTTTGTAAGATCAAAATTATGGGAAAGAATGAGGTTGAGGTTGATAGGGTTTGATTTTTTTTCTCTATCTTTCAGCCCATTTTCACCATCCCCGACGTCCTTCTGCGTGCAATCAGAGGCGAAACTCCAGCAATGGTGTCGCATCGCGCCTGCTGTTCAGCGGCTCTCTTGCTGTTACACGCACCCAGGGGTCTGCAGATGGGACCTTGGCCGTCGCATGAGGAATCTCCGAACTGCAGTTTTTACCTTCAGGTCTCTCCCCTAGTTAAGAACGTAGCTAAATTTTTGAGTCGTTGCTTCTCCCTATCGGTCACTTACTATCAAGTTACTTTTGTGATACTGATACCGTAGCCCCCAAGTAAACCTCTGCGTACGTTTTCAGCCATCCGGGCCCGCAAGTTGCTTAATCATAGAAGAGCAGAAGTGTTTGAGAACCTCCAGTATGCCATCGGAGTTTAGAGACTCAAAATAGCCTTGCAACCAAATAACCGGTTTCGTCACAGCCAACTCTGATCACCCCTTTTAATTGCCAATGGTTGGCTTTGAAATGTGGGCCACTTTTTATTCTAATGGGTTTTCGTGTTAAGACTATCAATGGTTCATTTCTTCAACGAATTACGCACATTTTGTCCTATTAGTGAAATCATTATATATTAATCACTTTTCAGTTGCTGACAGCGCTTTATTCCAACCTGATGGACGCTACCCTAAAGCCATTTCGTATCATTATATCGTCCCTGTTTGGGCGAACATTGAATCAGGGGAGTGAGGAGATGATCCACGCGAACGCTCCAAAAGAAGGTGGGTTTTATGAAGGTAGTTACAAAAACAAAAGCGGATTCAAATCATTAGAACGTTTTATTCGACTTTTCTTTTCAGGTCCCCTTTTTGGAGACTCCGTTTGGAATAGTATCATTATTGAAAACTTTCAACTGGAAGAATTTGATGATGAGAGCCTCCCCTGTTCACCGTTCCTTTTGGCCTTTTTGGCTGAAGTAGGTCGTGTTGGAAAGCAAAAGCAGATGGCGTTCTTCACATAAGTTGTTTGCCAGCCTTAGTTTTGCCGTGGTTCCATTAATGCTAGAATTTGGCATTCCTTACGTTTTATTGTAGGTTATCACAGCTATGTATTCGATATCACTCCCACTCAGACAATTGCATTTAGTCAGTTTAAGGTCGTATGATTTGATATTTAAGTTATCACTTATTCACGTGAGAATTTCTCTTAAATCACTCTAATTTACACCGCGTTGTGCCTTAGAGTGCACATTTATAGTATTCGCTATCAGGATATATGTCCTAACGAATAAAGCAATACCTTTTGGGAATACCGGAAAATGACATTACAGTATTCATCTTTCTGTTTTTCGTTTTCCAGATTCGACTTGGCTTTTAGCCATGAGTTAGATTGTATTGTTGATGGTGTTTAATGAAGGGGCTAAACCACGGTATGTATCAACGGCGGTACAAAAAACATCCATTGTGTAACATTGAAGGTCGCCATCGTTAATGAGCTGAAGAATGGAATTCAAACATCTATGTTTTATTTAAGCTTTTGGGAAACACCTTCGGACTGGTGGTTACAGGTGTGGATGAAAAACTTCTTCAGGAGATCGTCGTTTTCTACGCTCAACAGCCCGTCAGTCCGGTCCCTCCAGGAAGCCCATACGCGTACTTACAAAGGGTTATGGATAATGCAAGTTGCTTTGTACTAACTACAGCAATTCAAAAGTCTTTTGTAAATGTTATGGCAATTAGTATGAAAGACGTATGACAGTTCTCTGAAATCCGTTTGAGATTATTCATCTATGTAAAAATGCAATGCTGTTGTTTTACTGAAAATCTACAAGTAGCAAGAACGGATTGTTCTTAGTTGTCGTTAATCTTAGTGACCATATTTATTGTTTTTTGCGTCCTGAAAGCTCTCCAAGAATGAAGCCGTCACTTTTCTCACCAACGCGGCAAGGAATTGCATCCGTCACAAGCTCCAAATGGAGAGCTACTCGCAGGAACTAACCAGTCTCCCTCCACTGACTGCTTACAGGAGATTTTTACTCCCTGAACTTTTAACAAATTGCCAAAAATGAGTAGGCCTCCCTCTACTTGCCCATATTACAACAGTTCCTTGCAACTTTTGGCGCCTTTTTATCCACTGTATGCCTGATCGTAAAAGTTATGCAGTTTGTAAGAACTAATGGCCCAAAAGTAGCCTAGAGGAATCCCCCCACCGCCGAGCTGCTCCATGCTCAGCCACCAGTTTTTTTGTTTCATATGCGGTTCACCTCAGTACATTACAGGCGCACACGCCATTAGAATGACTGTCAGACGGCTATAGCTTCTACTAAGTTGTGGCAGTGACAAAAAGCCCGACATTCACTTCCACGCACTTGCCCCAAGAATACACATAACGTTGATCCAAATAAGTGAAGAAAACTCCTCATTCAGAGTAACATCTTCGCATCTAACCCGACAAACCGGAGTTACCAAAAGCCAAAGTTGTTAGGTCTGAACAACTGTATCGCTAAATCGTTACAAATAGTGGAACAGATACACTAAAAATACATACATACTGATGTCTGCCTGAATGCATATGTGAGTGCGTATGCCCGGGATTACTATGGTAAAAGCAAGACATCTTGGAGTGGCGTGATGACAATAGACAGGAGCGCTTTATAAAGCAGTCAGAGGATACATAAAAGGTTGCAATGGGTGAATGCAGGAAGTGCTGCCATCACGTCTCCGCGGGTCCGACAAACGCGGGACCTCGACACACCCGGATATCCGAATAGGGCGCATCCTGGAACAACCGCACGGAGCCTTGCTTCCGCAAGAGAAGCATTGTGTAGAACTTGGAAGCCGCCTGCAAAATACATCATAAAGGCAGGTGAAGGAAATAAAAATCTGACACAAACTATGAATTTGGACAGAGTAATGCAATTACTACGTCATTACTTTTTAGGAATAGAAGACGAAAACCTGTTGAGTAGAAAAGGTAATGAAGGTGATCGAAGAGTCCATATTCCTACCACTCAGTTGTGAAGCAGCCGGGTACAACAGAACATTTTTTACCTGTAGGATCTCAAGGATAAGCCCAAGTAACAAAACTCAGATACCATTTGAAGAATAGTGTGCAACGGGCAAGAACGTCACCGCTTTAAAAAATTGGATGCAGTGTCGCACGAATGAAGGGTGTTTACATCGACGCCGACTCACCTGTTTCTTGCTATTTCCCTCACACATCGCCAGCAACGAGATGCCAGTTTCACCCCAGCCATGCTGCGCAACGTGTGCTCGCAGTCGACGCAGCATGTCCTTGGAGCGCTTCTCCAAGCGTCGCTCCTCTTCAATCTCCTCACCCCCCAATACCTCTCGGCTCAAATCGCCACCAACGGAGGGAGCAGCCGGCATGGTGTCCTCATCGTCCCTCGGCCCACCAAACTCACTTGCCAAATTTAAGCCATGGCCTCCGCGTGACCCACGACCCCCACGGTCTCCGGTCCCGTCTAAATCGTGTTCTAACAGGATGCCCTAAAGTCGAGGAACGTAAAAAAGGATAGGGCTAGAGATTACTAGCGTCGTTTGCAAGGCGCTTTCTGTAGAAGGAATACCTGTGAGGCCTCAGAGAGAACCGAAGGGGGTTCAAGATACTGAGCATCGAGAGGGAAATTGTTGTCATCGTCCTCCATATCGTCGTCGCTGGCACCTGGATGCACGTGGTGATGCTCCGGAATGTCCGTTGGACGCGCGGTGGCCGCCAGAAAAGGATCATGCAGATTGGTGAGGGTGTTATCGGCTGCGGTAGAGGGAATAAAGAACTTGTCACTCCCTTAAATGTAAAAGAAGCGGTTAAACATGCGAAAAAAATGGAATTAGGGATTTCGTGTTACGAGTTCTTTTTGTTGAAAACCATTGTTTTCAAATGAAACAATAACGCCGAACTGAACCAACGACCTACCGTGACCAGGACGCCTGGCATCAGTATGAGAGGAAAGTTCAGTTAGCATGCAAGCGAGAGCTAGTAGAGGCACTTTTATCGACATACCCAGAAGATCGTGGTGGTCGTTGTGGAGATCAACAGTGGCCTTGTCACCTTGACGGTGTGGATGGTGGTCTGCTGAGGCGGAAGGGTAACCGGGGTAACCAGACTGATTGCTTACGGAGATGGTCTCCTCGGGTATGGCGTCCAGGCCAAGTGCGCCTCCTTGCTGATGCGCTCCAGCATGAAAACCGGAGCTTGACAGAAGGTCCTTTGTTTGCACAAAAAAACATAAATTAATCAAACTTCATGGATTAAAATGATATTGTTCTTTTGGTAATCAATTGCCATGACCGTGCCATAGCGTCCGGCTCATATCTAAACTACATATCTTCCATCTCTCCCATTCGTTCACAGCCTACCTGAGAACTTGTAAGCACAGAGAAACAACGAGGACACCACATGAGTGGTATCAGTAAGCGGAGCAGTTGCAAACAGCGATTGGATATCGTGCCTAGACTAAAGGAAAGCACCTGCTGTTAATGTCTATATCGGCAGCGGTCAATAACAGTAGTTAAAATCGCTTCGACGTTTGACAACTACCCTGATTTCGACCCCTGCATAGCGCCAGTAATGAAGCAGCATTACGTTCAAGCGAACCAAAGACATTCCTAAAAGCGTTGCAAAGAATATTTGCGGGAAACTATTCCGCTCTGAGCGTGATATGGTGAACGGACGTTTCCCTATATTCCAAGAAGCTAAGAATAATCCAGAAAGGTGGCAAAAAGTGGGAAACATGAATAAATACGAATACTTCTCCTCAACGCTACTTGCCATTGCGTTTTAGTAATTGATTTACTCCAAGAAAAATGAGCGTAGCAAAAGCTACTGATGTACCAAACGCACACTTCCGCCTTAAGTGACGCATGGTAGGTGAATTCTTCTAATGCAATTCGCATCTAGGACTATCGATGGAATTGAATTTATTCCTATCGTTATGAAATATTACTATACGTCAGTTCTAGCCGAATGGCCAATTTTAACACACTCAACCACCTCTATGCGGTCAAAGCAGAGGAGCGAGCACGGAGAGCGCCAAAAATGGAACACAAGGTGGGGAATTCGTGCGAGAGAACAACGCACGCTCTGGTTATAAATTTAAAGTCCTCAGCTTCTAATTCTTTTATGATTCAACTACGAACTACAGCGTCATAAAGTCCCCTTCATATGGTTTAAGCCATCAGCTTCACATCTGCTCTGTATATTCATAATCGACCTACCATTAACCATGGAAGTATTAGCTTCCACCATACCAATCAACCTACGACAGCGCCTCCACAATTAGGCAATGCAAATCAGCTATGTCAAATGTGCAGCCTACCCTTGGAGTAGCCGCTGCGGACAGCAGATGATCTTCGATGGCTGATGCTGCAGGACCCGGAGCAGTCGAGCGGAAGAAAATATGAGGACGGCTTTCGTCGGGAGCCAGTAAAGATGGGGTCGCGTCCTGTCCGGTAGCATCGGTGATGGGTTGAGTGCGAAGGTTACGAGAGAACATGCGCTGAAGAATGCGCGAGGGGAGCGAGCGACCGGGGAGGGTAAAAAGCTTGTCCAATCCGCCGGTCTCTTTCATTCGCATCAGACGTTTCGTGGGCGGGGCTAGATCCAACTGGGTGACAATCTCCGAAGTGTCCTGCATCTGAGCCTTCATAAGGTCACTTGGAATAGACTTCAACTCATCAATAATTAAACGACGCTTCCGCTTTGCAGCACTAAAGGGAGACGTGTCGTTACGTAGATGTTAAATGTCAAGTAAAATTATGGGCAGGGTACAAGGTAGAAACTAACCGTCGTGGTTCCGTAACAGCAGTAGGGACATCGATAGGCATGAGAGCGAAAGCCCCAGAATCGTTTGAAATGTTGCGTGTCATATTAGCGGTGACCTGGGGCTGGAGCGGTGGCTGGTCGGGCACCTGCGGCGTAGCACCGTTGCTTTTGGGGCCAATGGGAGTTATGACTTCGACGCCCATCATGGAGGGCCCACCCTCCTTCATCCCTCCATCAGCAGCCGTCGCACCCGGTTCGCTAGATAGTGTCAGCCCTTCCGCCAATGTGGCCAGCTGATTGGTAGTAGTGGCATCCTCAAACAGAGCGGGATTATTGAAAATTGACGGCTCTATATCCCCACCGAAGCTGCCGTCTGAGTCGCCAGCTAAGGCAAACAGCAACAACCCACATTTAAGACACTTCTTAACCAGATTATTTGGTAAACCAAGTTGTCTTAAGGTACTGCGGCTATAAAACATTTGTTTTAAAGTAAATAAACTAGTTTTCTGGATCGATCCCCTTAATCGTGTTTTTTATGTAAACAACAGAATGACAAGCAGATGACAAGGGCTTCCAAGGAGAACCTTGACGGCTTACCATAGAGAGGTTCAACGAAGTCATCGTCATCCAAGCCGATATCAGCACCTGGGGTAAGACCAGTAGCGACCTTATCAGACTTGTCTTTGGCACCAATCAATGTGTCATCGGGGTCTATGTCGGTTCGGATCGAAGGTCGGTCAGATTCGCGAACAGAAAAGCGACCCGAGGCGTCCGTACCACGACCGTAGACACTGTCATAGCCACCGTCACCCCCTCGCAACATTTCCCGGCTGGGTAGTTCCTCAAAAGCGCCCTCTCCGAAATCATCGTCGATACGACCCAAATTAACATCTCCGAAGTCCTCGCGCATTGTGATGTCCTCTGGGCGGCTTTGGTTTATGTTGATTGTATTAAGGTTAATAGCGCTAAGTAGCAATAGATGAAAGTGGCAGAACATACTTCAAGGCAGCCATCGTAGCCTCGTAATCCTGTATATTTTCAGGCAAATTAATCGCAGCCAAGGCAGCTTCACGGTTTGAGTCATCTGGCTGATCGACAACGCCTGGACGGAACGAAGTCTTAATCTTCACATAGATTTCATTGCAATCTGCCAAAAGATATTTTGCCTTCCGTGAATAAATCCTGACAACGCCCAACAGAAGATGGCCAGATGTTCTGAGAGCCATCTTTAACTTAGGCTCCAATATGGCTTCGACACTGGAATTAATGTTAGTCTCGAAGACATGAGCCCTTGTGAGCTTTTTATCCCAGTGAGCCGCCAACCATATACGAGAGAACGGGCCCTTTTTACTCAGTACAAAGTGGGCGTAAAACATCCTCAAACAAAACCCTAAAATTCGTTTTTCGAGTAAGCCGCCGATAGACAAATTGATAGAACAAGGGTACGATGACATATTATTTGGCAATACATCTGGCATGAATTTCAAAATAAAGTTTTATATTACTGGTCTGCATTTTAATCAAACTATTTTATTAAACTAAAAAGGTATTTTCTCCTACTTTATTTTAATTAGTTAATACTTAATGCTTTTATATTTTTGACAGTTGTGAGACCTTTATGCTAATATATAGGTTTATTTTGAGGTTTTTGACTAAATCAACCTATTTTTTACCACACTCGTTTTCTCATGCAGCTTTCCCGACTTGAAAGGTTTTATTTTAAATGAAAATGTCTATCTTTATTCAACATATGCAGTTCTGTTCTTGAATAATATGGACAGACTCTCTGTACACAAACATGCTGCATTTGCTTTGAATTTTCCTGATGTATGTTTCCTTTCATTGATGCAGAGGATACTCGAGTGCCGCTAAACAATAAGATTGTTTTTGTCCAAAATACCTAAGAGAGGTGATAAGGGAAATTTTTTGTGCCCTAATGTACTACCTTTGTTGATTTAGTGTTCCTTCCAATGAGGAGGCGGGCAGATGAATCGGACTTTGTGACCGAGAAGTCAACGCTCTACGACCCGGAGAAGGGTTTCGTGTCCACGCCCCCACTCCCCAAACTTGTACTTACTCATGTAGCTCTTGAAGAACTGTTCGCACTAGTGAGCCAGGAACCACCACCACCACCTCATTCTCCAGAGAGACTTTCGACCATTCCTGCCAGATTTGTCTAACCGCCTTGCTGACCGACGTCATCTCTTTCACTGTAGGCTTATATGAGGATGTCAGGAACTTCTCGTATGGCAGAGCCGTATCAAGATCAGTATTCTTCATCGTCCTCGTCAGCTTTTTGAAGTGAAGGAAGTAGTCTCCGGTGAGGGTTTGTTCTTCCCGATCGATGACTTGTTGGACCAACTTATCGCAACATTGATCATTGTTGGTATCGTGGGTGATGCCGGCGTTGATTAAGGCAGTAAATAATTCATGAGGGAAAGCGCGAAGGATTTAGGGCATTTCTTGGCATTGAGGATAGATGTGGATGTTTGGTTTTACAGTTTTCAGCCAGTCTTCGAAGTTTATTCCATCTCTGAAAGGCGGGAAGTCCGCCAGCGCTGCCACCAGTGTAAGACGAAGCTCGTAGATCTCTTCCCTGGTCCTCTTATTCTTGGAACACCCAGGTTGATTCGACTTCATCGTTTATTGGGATAAGTAAGTAGGGGAAAGCAAGTACAAGTTTACGGGGGTGTGGACACGCAACTTTTCTCCGAATTGTAGGACGTTGACTCCTCAGTCATGAAGTACGGTTGTTTGCCCGCCTCCTCTCTGAAAGCAACATCAAAACAACAAGCATTACTCTTATGAAGCCAGTTGCACAAAACGGGCATATTAAGCGTTAACTGTTTTTAGCTTCGAGAGTCCTCCATGAAGTTGCAAGAAGTACCAAAATATGGCAGAAAATATCACCATTACACAGAAGTGCTGAGGGGCTACTGGCATGGCCGTGTAACCGAGTGGAGGTACGATCCGCGGCGACTTATGTTGCTGTGCAGTCAAATGCAGCGTTAAACGGGCTATCAAGGGGTTACATGTGTGCGTGAAAACATGGGACGGTTTGATCTATTTCGCTTATAATGTTTTCGCCAATTCTCGCTGCTCTATTTTTACTTAAAAGCTACTACTGAAATCTACTCATACAGTAAGAAGTTTTGAATAACAATAAACTAGACATTGACAGCATTTGAAGAGCCACATCGCTAGTGAGATGTGCATTTAATGCTTGATGTAATGGGAACGCGATTTTTACGATTCCAGAAGCTGGCATATCGAAGCACGCCAGCAGGCACATCTGCCATCCAAGCAGCCAGAGGTGCTGACATGTGATAGCAGGATGATATTCCATCACCTAGGTGTAATGCTCCGTATGATTTCGCCAGGCTACAGTGAAATATTCGATAAAATAGGTAAAAGTAAAAAACTCCCTTAAGCCTGTTCTAGCTTATGAAATCACTTCTCATTTCAATGGCGGTTCCCACTATTTTAACCTACGTCTTGTTCATAGCTTCAGTAATATTTGGCGCAAAAGCAAGTGCTGGTTTTGGCCAAAGGGTGGATGCTTTGTGGCATTGGTATCATGGATGGACGAGATTGATGCATATTTGCGAACACACTCCCAAAATAATGCATGCGTTTGCGCTTTCCTTCAATTCGAGAAAGGCAAATAAATGGTGATTAATTAGTTTCATTTAAATCAAATGAGTTCACTATGCTATTTTAAAACCTTTTGCCTCATTCTCCTATCCTCCCAACCCCCATTCCAGTATCCGGTTTTATGGCTATTACGCAATGCTAGTGTCCACAGTCCACTCACGTCCAATCATGTCCGAGTATTCAGTGCATGTCTACCGAGTGACTCGTCTTAATGTGTTTACAATATTTTGTGTCAGCTTTGTTGTCAAATCAGGCACTAACAGTACATGTTTAGTCCAGGCATTCCATTGACAGGGGGATTCCAAAAGCTACGAATTAGTCCCAGATCCAAATCATTTTTGCTTATGCTTATGAGCCTGGTAGGATTTTGTTTATCTGGAGCTCAAATTGTGATGACTGTTAGTGCCTATGGACCAAATATTTAAATGCTCTAAGTGATCTTTGTGATCTTCCTGCTTAGGTCGGTTCTCACTAATGACCCAAATTTTTGGCTATGGGATGAGTTGTTTGCATAAGACGCAATAAGCTAGCCTTGCATTTCTTCTTTTTCAGCTAAAGTACTCATAAATTCAAAAGGAATTATTATCACGTGTTACTGAAGGTTCACCGCTGATTAATCAGTCATTTGATCGACTGCCTCCTCCGTATTGTGCAATTCATTCACAAATCCCCCATCTTTCTCATGTGAGGCGCAGGTATTCCAAAAAAAGTAGCCCGATAATTTCAGCTCAAAACTATTGTCAATACTGTTTTTAGCTCTCTCTTTCATATTCCCACAGCTTAAAAATCGTGGAGGTGATTTGGTAAGGTTTACTTTCTCACAATTTGAGGGAATATAAGTTTGGTGAATGGAACATGGAACACTGTCTGAAATATGCCGCAATAATGAGGCGGATCTTTTGATCATTTGGGCCTAATGAGAAGTTCAAGTGCACCGAACCGACATAAAATTATCATTAATTCGCAATAAGTAAATCCCATTATGTATTCTGCCTTGACAAAATAACTAATGCAGTTTCTATAAGCGGTCTCTGGGAGATATATCAGAAGTGACAAATTGGTATTCTTAAGTTGCTGGTTCCTCTATCCAACAGCAACAATCTACTCTGTGATTATAAAACTACAGTGAATTTCCGCATTCGCGATTTGCTGGAATTTAAGAGACCTTAGAGACGCTTGAGATGAAAGCGTAGGCACATGGATGAATGTGATTGCAGTGTCGGCAACATTGAAGTGATAATAATATAAAGTATCAGAATATATTCAAAAGCGTTTCACCAAAAGCAGCCAATTTGATCACATCTCTATTTATTAAATGGAAAATTGCCTTTGTCATCACATTCATGGTAACGCGATCCCTCCAAACCGTTTTATATAGACTTACCAGGTTTTTAAGACACTACTTAATAAGGGCCAAGTAACAAAAGCTCCTGGTGTTTAAATGTTATGCAGTTTTACAAATATGAATATTTTGGCTAGTGGTGAGTTAGTAAGTAAATACCGTAACTGGTAAATTCATAATGTCACTTTAAAGTGCATCCATACATATATACGGCTCTCTTTCCCATCACAATCAAACACAGTCGATTATGTCACAAGGATAATGCGCTCAAGAATCTAAAAAACCTTCACGTTAACTCAAAATGGCATTTTCGCCGTTTCAGCAGGTACAGGCATTTACGACCGTTCCTCCTGTCCCTACTCTCCTGGACCGCAATGTGCATGCTCCTGCACATTTCGCCATGCTGTTGTGGGTGGGTGGATTGGAGGGCAGACCTAGGTGATTGTATTGGTGCAAACTAGCAAAGCCCTCCAATAATATTTGCGTGTTCACTGAATAAAATGAGCGAAAGAAATAACCCAAGAGGTGAGCTCATTCCACTTGATGCTTTGATGGGCTGGTGAGTCTTAGCAGTGACCCCCTAATCCCTAATTGCCTGCAAAAAAATTGAGCTCTAGTCAAACACGTTTTCTAATTTCCTAATTTTTAGTTTCATTATTCTATCTTTTGGTCTTCGTTATTTAAATTTATGGTAGCTTTTACCAATTAAGGAAATAAGGATAACCCACAACATGGAGAAACTATTAACATTTAACTTTTCCTAGAAAAGAATGAACTTGATAGTTTCCATTTAGAATTAATGTAACCAGACCTGGGAGGAAACGTATTTATGGGTGCACCGTATCCTAGATTACACTATCTTCCATCATTGCATTATTACAAAATATGAGTTTGCATGTCAACAGGCTCTCCCTGTCGCTTAATGCCTATCATCATATCATGTCTTCATGAAACCTCCAACACTCCAGTGATTGTAGATGTAAACATTTTTATTCTTTTTCGTTAAGAATCAAAAGGGATAGGGCAAAATCTGATCTATGAAGCCGATTTATTTCTATTTCTAGATGCAGTTTCCTTTCCTACTACAAATAAGTTGTAAGTCTGCATAACATGGTGCTGGGATTGCCTAAATTTATGATAATCTTCAATGCATTGCGCCTTAAATCGTTTAAGCTCACCTGTTTTGTATTTTTTTCAATGTTAATGCCTTCTAAGACTGACTTGTGTGAGATTGTTAGACCTAACAAACTGTAAATTCACTTACTACTTGCAATCATGGTCTGTTCTTCACTAAACAACCCTGGTTTGGTGCTGCGGAATTTCCGTGACACACCCTGATTGATCAAGCTCGGTTTCCACGGGTGAACTTGCCTTGCCTTAAACTTTTTGCCCCAAATATGCAACCTACCCGTGGTATTTCTGACGTCTTCCGGCTCACTTTTTTATCGGAAGCATGATCAACGGAACTTGAGCTGTGGCACGGGAGCAGATTTAAAGGAATAAACTGAAAGAATTAAGATGAGACCACATAAAATCACGCATTAAGTGCCCCCGGACGCAGCAGCTAGGCCCGTGATTTGTCACTCAAAAGGGGCAAGGCTCGATGGAGTTGCTCTCAGAAGCTTTTAATCAGCTAACTTTATATTATTTTAGTTCTGACTAGTCTTCTTTATGGGGGACTCGATGCCTTGTAAGTTGTTGGTAAATTGTGCAAACTCCCATAATAAGCTTTATGGGTTTGTATTATCTGATACTGTATGCATGCTAGTTGACCCGTTAACCATCGCATGAGTTAATTTAAGAAATTGCTCGTCTCCACAAAGCAACAAACTGTTTTTGTTTAATAACACACTTTTCTATCTAGAGTAGACATTCCTTGTAAACATGGTGTCTGCGCAATCAACGTGAAACCCCGAACAAATGTCTCGGCTAAACTCGTCCCACCTTTTCGGATTGTAGTATGTTGCCTCCACCCTTTAGTTCTCCATAGCATTTGTCACCTTATTTTGTGGCTTAAAAAAGACCTTGAGTTATGAACCTTAAAGTACAACGACCGCCACTCAGCAACAGGATCAAACATGTATACCTGCGGGATATGCTGCACAAAAATGTTTAAAATCAGGTGTTAGACGCCTGCATTTAAGCTTTTTGCAAGTTTATTATCTCAAAAGAATACTTTTTTCCGCCATTGTCGCTGATAATTATCAACCTTGGCCCTTGGCCTTAAGGTACACCCTAAGTGCCGTACGCAGTGCCTTCAGGCGCCAAGTCGCTCACAACCATCGAAGACGTATTTTCCGGTGACTAAATTCACCACCAGCTCCTTTGCAAAGAAATTTTGGAGCTGATAATGTATTAAGACTGACTTTCATGGCAACTTAACTTTTGATACGTTAACTAGTGGTGAGACCATGGGGAAAGGACAAGGCTTCGTACTTGGTAAACAAGCAAGGTAGCACTATTCAAATTCGTCTTTGAGACCATTATCGAGTTCCTTAGGTCCTTATTTGATGCAGTGGCATTTGAACTCGGTTCTTCTTACCAACAATCACGCTTCATTTCAGGCCAGTCACCCTATCTTCTCTCCCATTAATTGTAATCGTTTGAAGGAAGTATGCACACAATTTGGTGAGTTACTAACCCTACTTTACACTTGAGAATGTGCTTTAAAGTCATTACGAGAAAAGGACACTCTTCCCTTGTCCTCCAAGCATAAAGAACTGTGTTTATTTTAAACCTGTTTCCATCATTATCTGTTCCACTGTAGTCCAGAGTTGAATTCTCGCCAATTGATGATCTAAAAGTAAAAAGAATCCCAAACACCCGAGAGACGTATAAGCTGTCAAATGGAAGTAGCAAAGTCGACTACATTAATCAGGGAGCTCAATATTCCCAGCTTTATGCTTCACTCTCAAATAAACTAGCTCCTAACCATGCATGTCGCTTGAATAAGAAGAAAGGCATGTTGCTTAAATGTTGACTCCTGTGCATTTTACGCCTAGATGATGAGGTCATAGCGCTGACAGGCACCTTCGGGCGCTTCAATGTACGAAACATCACGTTCGACTGCTATCCAAAGGGTCTCAGCACACTGGAAGTCCTCAGAAAGGGTGAAAGTGGTAAGCACATTTTTCATGAAAAGAAAAAATCTGCATAAATCGCTTACTCCATCATCCAAAATTCGCCACTTAAATAAAATTCTCCCCCAAGCGACTATGGCAATTTCCTAACAAGACTCGCCAGATTCCGCCTTCTCGGCCTGGTAGTTAAATTCCGTCGCTAATAGCAAGTGTTCTTCATCAAATATTCCGGAGTTCAGAAGTACATATGTTAGATTCAGTGGGTTTTTCGTATCAGCATAAATGCCCCATGCCACTGTGCAATATTTCAAACAACAGTAACAAGCCTTAAGTGCTCAGTGAAAAATACGAATTTATTCCAAATAAAAGGCACACGAAATCAGTAAGATGCAGAATTGGCATCAATCATTCAACTGGAATTAGTCATAGAGAGTTGTGATTGGGGTGTTCTAGAATTCCAGTTTTTACCTACAGGTCAGTGACTTCTTAGGCACAAGTCTTTGCTCAGGCGCTGTAATAGTTCACTCAATTTAACCGCATTTCCACCTCCCTCACTCCCATTCTAGTGCCAAAAGCCAGTGGAAAACATGCTGCGCTCTCTCCCCACTACATCCGAGTGAATGAAAAAGGGCAGCTCGAGGGTTCACCGCAAATCGTTGTCTCCTGCCACTACTCCGGGGTAAGTGTTGGTCGTGGGTTGTTTCATTCCACTGCGAGTAAACAAGCAGTCCTAGGCGGTACCAAAATCACTTCCGTAGAGAATAGCACTTACCAATGAGATTTGACCCATTTCTTCTCTGCCATAAGAGGTAATTTATTGTTTGTTGTGGTTTAGGCTCAATTTTGCCTAAATTTTGAATTCCAAGGGTGGTAAACGGAAAACTCCTCGAGGATGTATAACTAAATAAATGCATGCATATGTGGAAAACCATTGACAACATATGGGTATTGGCGAAGTCGCGAAGCTTCGGAAATCTCATTTATTCCTAAAAATGAGACACAATGAGTACGAACAATTTGAAGGAACAGTTTAATATGACTAATGGAGATGCATTTAATGAGAAAAGGCAGTATTTTTCCCGTGGAGGATGTTTGTTACACCTTCGCCTAAGCTTCACATAAAGGACTTTTCAATGCAATCCCCGCTGGCACTTACACCGGTCATAGTGTCCTTTTATTGCGGACAAGAACAAACACTTGACGTTGTGTTCATAGCCTTTAAAAAATTGTCGCAGCCATCATGTAAATTGTTGGCTATCCACTTCAGTCCACTTACTGGAACGCCCACCGAAGGGACCACCACCATCAATGGTTTGTTGGCGTCAAATACGCATAAAGGCCGTCACAGCCGGCATGGATACTGGCCGCAGCCGTTTGATGGTATAATGATACAGTTAATAAAGTTATTTGTAAGGTTTGAGCTGGGAGGTGTGGTGAATCGTAATGTCAATCTATGTTGGAAATTTAAAAAGAAAGAAACAATCCATGCCAACAGTTTGGGCAGTCAGTAGGACTCGGCCGTGTATAATTTTAAAAAAGAACAAAGGATGAACTCAAAGTTACAAAGGGGCATTTATAAGTGTTCCATGAAAACTGGAGAAAGAAAATGGCATCCGACTTCCGTATATTATTAATGAATATCTCACCCTTCTGGATTAACGGATACTTCCACCGGTGCTCTTGATTCACTGCTGTAAATGAACCCACATCACTGTAACCCCCGAATCAGCCCTGAGGACGTAAGAGGGGTGGCGCACTATAAGCGTGCGGAAGGACCGAGACGCTACATGCAGGGAGAGACGATTGTGCTTCCACGATGGTGGTAGGACGTGCGAGAGCTGAAAAGCTTGCATATTTAAGTAAGCGATTAGGACCATATTTTCCAACGAATATGAAAAATTGTATGAAGGCGGTACGCATTAGGTAAGCGCCTTCTGCAAAGTCGAAGTAATATTTAAGTAGAATACCGCTGCAGAATTGTTACCATTGGAAGCACTCTGTCCAACTCCTAATTAAAAACATAGCAGGAGAGTAATTGTACTGATTATTCTTGTGGTGCCCCGTTCACACCACTTATGCTGCTGGTGCTGCAACTCTCTTCTAATCCCACATGCAGAGCCATCTACTTAATAATGTGCTTTGCTAATAAGATGTATGAATTTAAACACGAAAACCTAGAAGACAACGAGGCACTTCTGAGAAATGATACCCACTTTCCACTAGAGTATATCCATTACACCTGGAACGTGGCAATGGTACGAACTACCAGCATGTTTTTGGCTGAGGTTTCCAGAAAAACGAATCCTATCAAAAATTCCATCGTCTATTCGACAAGCAGTACATACGCATAGCTGAAGAGTTCCTTTCAATTACTACCTTTTTTACTGCAAAATAAAGTGCTATTTAATGTATTAACATTTTGCACTTAGGTTCTAATACCTTACCTCACGACAGGGGAGAGTCGAGTTGACAGGGTGATGCAAACACCAACCAATGGAGTTTGTCCACCGAATATTGTCTGCCACAGGAAAGTTCAACGTAAGTTCATTCAAACCCTAAAAGAGCACCTAACCCATGACTCCGGCTACATTTGCCTCATTTTGTCTAAATGATTAAATTTTACTACGTCCTTACTTCAAGAGTGCTGGTTTGAGCAGAATCAGTGACTACATAACAAAGATACCGTCATTTGACAAATCCATCTGTCAGGCATTAACTGTCCACTATTGCACGCATAAAATAAAATGCGTGTGGATTCGCCTGCCTTCATCCACAAAAAGACGTGCAGGGTTGCACGCGAGGAAATGAGCATACCTTAATCACCAGAAAGAGAATACTTGTAGTTCATATTTTTGACATTGCGCCTATATTTGCCAAATTTGACTAAATTGGTCGAAGTTACTTTCAGGTTTGTCATTTTACGGTCGAGTGGGAGACAAGAAAGTCACGTATTTTCTAAGAGGATCTTTTCCAGAAGAAAGACTGACCGTCAATCTGATTCCAAAAGGGTAAAGCACGACGTAGGAGAGGAAAATAATAATCATGAAGCCTATGTACAACTTTTGCAAAATTATTTTGATGGATTTTGGTATTCAATATAAACGTACAAGCATTGCTTGGATTCAGGCCAGTTATTGGGAGAAATTCTAGAGATGTTAAAATATTATAAGTGGGCATGAACGATAGATGGTTTATGCAGGTGTAGCGCTTCGACACTTCCCTCAAGACGAAAGAAGGCATGATAATCTGGCAGACCATGTACTGCCGACGCACAGAAGGGATTGTGGCAACTGACATGGCTGGCAGTCCAGTCCACCTAACGAAGGTACAATTTCGAAGCACATAAGTAATCCCTTTACCAAAAACAAGAATCACACAAACAATTTAAGTATTATATAGCCCTTCTCCTGCTTTAGGCTTTGACCCCAGCGGTATCCTTGACTAATCCTCCGCGGCAGTCATCACAATGTAATGGGTGCTTTAAGAAAAGCACCCACAAGCCAACTGTGCTAATCATCTGATTTCCATCCCGCTAAAAAGATACTTGACTTCAACGTAACTGATCGCCCTTGGTGATTCCACTGTATCTGGAGTTGCGTCTTGTATGGGAAGTGAATGTGAGGGAGGAGAATGTGCTGGAAAGCACTCATATCCATAGCTAGTCGTAGGAACACTGGCCTGAAAGCAGAGTTACGTCACAAAGGATGGGACTGAATATAGTTCCGTGGGCGTAAAGGTCTGCTTCTACTCTTCCTTGCCATCTTTTCAATTCAGACCTACCTATCCACATTTATCTGGGTGAAATGGTACAGTAGTTCCGTGATACAGCGGCAGAAACCCAAGGGGACCCCTTCGCCAAAGCCAAGAGTTAAACAATTAAAGCATTTCCCAAGCACAAGCAAAAGTTTGTGTTGTGAGGGGTAAAGAAGGCTTCAGTTTAGAGCTTTAGACAAAATTTGAGAAACGGGAAGTAATGGAAGGTGGAACGTGGAGTAATTTTCAGCCGATGATGGTTTAAGCTCTTTTCAGCATATTTCTAAAGTGAATATTTCTAAATCCTAACAAAAAGACTTCAAAAGTGCAAAATGAGCACTTGAGCACAATTGTCTTTCACAATTGTCTTTCACAATTGATCTTTAAATTTTAAAATGGGTTTTAGAGCAGGTACAAGTCGTTAAAATGGCATAAACAAAATTTTAGAAACTGGCTAAGCTCAAGCCATTTGCAAGACTACTTTGTTGAAAAGGAACATTTAAAACCCTTTCTTTGGACTTTGATTTGAATCGAGTTGAACTTTGCAAAAGTAATGTTTAAAAGCTCTTTGGAAACCGCGTTGCTAAAAATGCAAGTTTATCAATCTCTTGTAGCTATTGTACCCTCTTTCTCACATATTTGTAAAAAGAAGCACTATATATACTAATTTAACCAATTGTGTGTTTGGCGAAACGAAACGAATGTGCAGAGCTTGCACTTAAATGAAGTAATCTCTGATCTTCAAACTGGGCAATTACTTTTTAACGCAGCAGAATATTTTTTCGCACCTTGAATCAATAAGAATGTGCTTTGCCTTATTATTTAATGGCGGATGCTTTGGTTTGCCAAATGAACAACCGGAACGTAAATAGCCAGTCCTTCTACTAGCCGAACTATATCGACGCTTAGATCCAGTCTTCTGTCGCGTGATGTGGTCATCTTTAGGTATGAACGGAGTGTTCGTCTTGCAGTTGATAGATTTTGGAAATTTTAGTGGCACTGCTGATGCAAGTGGGGGATTTTTCAGAGGCTCTTCTACCACTAGTGCAAAGGTAAATTTTCTCGTACTGTCCAACGCCCAATCTAGAAAGCCTTGCAAAATCGAGGCGTAATGCCTTGCACTTGCGCTGAAATTATCTCCGCTACTCAAGACGGTGACAAATTTGTGTCTTCTACGGGTGTGCAGTTCTCACAGGTACGATTGTTTCTCTTGCTACATAAAAGTCTTATAGGTTACCTTAGTCGGTTTGATTCGGTCAGTTAATGAATCTGCAACACGTATCGACTATGAGATTGATGACTACACTGGACCCTCCGTATTAGTAAAACAGTTTGTTGATGATGATGTAAGTTCGTTTGTCGTTTTGACTCTTGAAATTAGGACTCCCCAGCAGACTCAGGCAGTGGCCGCAAACTTAGAGAGTTTACTTATGTTCGTGTCTACGGCCACGTGCGCAGTTTCCAGGGCGATATTAACGTTGTTGCGTTCAAGGTAGATTATTCTGGTCATTTGATTCGCATCGTCTCATCCTACACGTTACAAAGACGAACTTCCAAATAATATTACCTACTGTTTTTTCCTTACGTAAGGTTTTTCCGGTGACGGACTTTAATGAAATAACATGCCACATTATGGAAACCATCTACGCCCGAATGTTGCATGCCAAAGCAGCGAGTAGCCAGACTAAGGGCGATGTCACTACAAAAGATTCCGCCGTGAATATGGTAACCAACATTCGCGGCTTGACTGCTCTACAATCCCAAGTTTTGTCCTGTGTACGTGCAGCATTGGACGATAACGGAGTTACGGTATCGCAAATTTGTGAAAAATTGAGGGGCGTCCCTGAGAAACAAATACGGTAACTTCATGGATGTGCACCATTATCCCCCTAAAAATGAATGCCACCCATACAAGCTCTTTTTCCCTGCAGGGACGACCTGGATTTTCTCAGCGCTGAAGGCCATGTCTACTCGACCGTGGATGACAACCATTTCAGAGTTACTGAGAGGTAACATACATGAGATCCCATGGCTAATTACCATTTGCCACTTTTGATACGTATATGCATGCGTTTAAATACAAGGCAATGAAACTAGTATATTCAATCACCGAAACTTTGCACAGCGCAGAGTACAGTCACTATTTTTTGGGATTTGACTCAATAACTAGTGGGGCCGAGAGAGGTCTGGGGGGTCGTTTGGGCTCTTCCTCTTGTTTGACTACGGGTTGTGAGGATGATGCCTTGGGCACTGAGGCGTTTGGAACCTCTTGCTTATCGCAGTCCAATGCCTGGTGCAGCAGCGAGTAGAATTCGTTAGCTGTGGTCGGACGAATAATAACAGAAGGGAGCTCGTCTAGGGCTCCTACAGAGTTCTCCTCCGCCACTTTTATGGGTTGCCGTGGCGGTGTCTGCTGCGGCGACTCTTTCTGCAGAGGCCTGGATGGTCCTGGTTGGGGTTCTGCTTCATCCTCCTCCTCATCATCATCTGAGATTACAATCGGTGAGGAGGGTCTATTCAGCATCTGTGGACGGAGCCTCCGCCTGCTGCGCCGCTCCTCGTAGAACTCTATAAATGCCTTGAACATATGTGCAAATTCAGTAGGCGTCATATGCTCCGTCGATCTGCGCCGGTAACAACAGCAACAGTGTTTTCTGTGCTCTACACAGCATCGAGGAATGGAAGAACGACCACTTTGGGAGTGTTGTGTCGATGACTCCTCACTATCAGAAACAATAATTGCTTCATCATCACCTCCCTCCGTCTCGGAGTTACCCTCTCCCAGCGCGATCGTTACAGAGTTTGGCTCCCGAAGAGACGTCGCGTGAGGTCTGAAAAGTCGTAAAGGAGCCTGAGAAGGTTCACCATGACCTATGGGCTCCACCGATGGAAGGGGAGTGTTTGGACGGACAGCGTAAGTTGGTTGCGAGAAGAAGCCAATGAGATTGGCCATACGACGCAAAACTAGGTGTCGCCCCTGATGTGTGAGCCTCTCCATGGCGGACCCGATGCGTGCCTGATCGATTAGCTCGCAAAGTCCCATCTGTGCCACTTCGTCAGACCAGGTCTGCTCGGCCATACGCGATAGGAGGCCGCGTATGCCATGACGTCGGAGATGGTAGACGGAGTCGTTCGAATTGATAAGCCTACTGGGGTTATAAGAAGCTGAGGATTGAAGGGCCTGGCAGGCCACCCGAATGATATTTTCGTCTGGATGCAAGGTAAATGACATAAAGGGCGATCGCGGCGCGTTAAAGAGATGGCGGAATAACCATTGCGCTGTTTCCTTCGATACTCCTTCGAGGGAATTCGCAAAACCGCCAGCAGCCACACCATTGATTCTTGGAGTTGTGTAAACAGCAGTGTGTATTTGTGGACTGTGCTCTAGACGCATATGTCCTGGAAGGTAAGCAATAGAACAGTTTAAATTCCATCCGTCTACCTGCTACCGCGCATGTGTGCAAGTACCTCCAGTGAAGTGATTCGCGTAGAGGCAGGACTGGGAGTAATACTCCTGCAGGGTGCCAGAGAACCTAGCGAATTGGAGAAGCTCCCAACTGAAGTGTTTTAAGGAGCTGATGGAGACGGATTCGAGGAGTCCGTCACCACCCTGATCTCGGTCGTCCATACCTCTGATGGCATCGGCGAAATCGTCCACTCGGGTTAGTGGCACAAGGTGGGATGCAATGCGACGCACTATGGCCATCGACAATCGACCTAGTGCCTCCGAAGGGTTAGAGTTGCCCGCGCCCAGCGGTTGAAGTGCCACAGCCCCGCGACTTGAATTCATGTAGTCTACCCAGGGTGCGAGGTAGAACAGTTCTCTCTGGGTGAAGTCAATAAGACGCGTCTGTAGAGCCTCGTTTTCCGCCAGAAATGAGCGACTAGTGCAGCGGGAGAGGCATGAAAGAGTCTCCACAGAGCTGGAGTGGGCGGGTAGGGGAGTGGGGTAGGTATAGAACTTGTTGACGTAGACTAGGCGTCTCAGTAAGTTCGGATTTATCGTCGTGGTGCGGAGAGCACGCACGACAAGGGTCATAAGAAGTGTCGAGCGGGGCTCCGAGTGGAAAATCCTTGTTTTACAACAAAAGAGGGGTTTTTAGGAGTACAATTTACCTACTCGTGTTACTTGCTAAAAAAAATTAGCCTACGTGTCTGAAGCATTTGAAACAGCAAGTGAAGATCGGTGGAGATTGGTATTGAGGAAGTTGACTATCGGGGTCATGAGGTTGATGACATTTCTGGGCGAAGAACGGATATCGTATTCCTTGAAGTTATTGTCGGAATTGATGGAGTGGATAATTTTCTGCACGAGAGCCTTGCACAGAGGGCAGGTGGGATTTATTCGCACCCACTGGAGGATGCATTGATAACAGTAAGTGTGCATGCAAGGCAGGAGGTAGGACTGGTTGACTTTTCGATCCCTACAAATGGCACAGTCATCGTCTGCATTGGAATCTGTAGTAAGTATAATAGCAGTGTCAGCGCCATTGAACACCCTATCCCTCAACAACTTGTTTTTGGGTCCTGCATTGCCAAAATTATCCGACCCTTCGGTATTGAAAGACAAAGCAGAAGAACCACCAGCTACACCCCTATCCATGGTATGTGAAGCCGTAACCGGTGCAAGAGAGCGAGGACTGCGGCGTAGGCGCTGTGAGAGTTTAAAAAAGGAAGTTGAGTGTGTTAACAAAGGAATGTGTATATACGAAGAGGAGTAACCTACACTCCTTGCACGAGTGGTCCTAGATGTAGTGTCTTCGAGCAGCTCTTGGTGCCTTCGCCGGCCGGATCGTGTTCGAACGGTGGAGAGTGCAAGTTCACCTTCCACTACAGTAGAACGCGGGTGCGGAGAGGAGTCGGAGGATGAAGTAGTAGCTAGATACCAAGGTTGGTCTATTGGAGATCGTGAACGACTTTTCGAAGAGTGATTCATCGCTGGAGTCAGTCAAGAGGATACGCGTTTACCACTTGTAACCATAATCAACATAAATCGTATAACAAAAAAGTACGTGGTAACATGCCAATGAGGGTTAAAATCAAATCTATGCTACAAGTAGCATCACCAATTATCAAATCTCGACTTATTAGGGTAAATAGGCCAAAATCATTTTACAAGTTCCCAATGCAATTAAACCTCTGCATAAATGCAAATGTTATGCATAAATCATACATTTATTGAAGTTTTGGGTACCAGCTACATTCCGCAATGACAAAAAGCAAGGCCTAACAGTTCAGAAGTAGACACACGGGTACAAGCAGCCAAGCAAGCACGCACAAACAAACCAGAAGGCTACAAGCTGGACATGTTATGCTATTGAACTATTATTAAACAGAGAGAGAAGATAAGAACAAAATAGAATTCACTGTACAAGTTTGCGCATAGCAACGAAAGTAGGCGGGTGGGCGGATGAGAGGAGAAAAAAGAGCGAGGTGCTTAGAAGCCATCAGCCCATGGATTCTCTTCAAGGAACTTTGAAATGACCTCCTTCATTGCTAAGTTGGGCACGAGCTGGTCTTGTGTCAGGGGTTGCCGCGTGATGGGGTCGAAGTGGCCAACCTGCCTCAGGTGTGCCTCTATTGAATGGCGGTCATAGGTGATGCCGCTGGGGGTGATCACAGGATCCTGCATCAGCTCAAAACTTATCTGCCCACAGAGGTAATCGGGTAACTCCCGCTTCATTCGCCTCTCGTCGACCTAGGAACGAAATATGAGAGGGGAGAGGAGGTACAATCGACCTAATTTAAGGAAAAAAGCCAGAAATGAGTCTATAATGAAAACTCGCCCTATGCAAGAATACTAACCTGAGCGAAAATGACATCTAAATCACGCAGTCTAGCCGCTGTTTCGGCCTCTATTTGGCTAGCATTTAGGGGTGGACGTCGAATAGAGACTTGAACGTCCACGTTAGCGCTGTCTCTATCGCCGTCCGGAGTATCTTGTCCAGATTCAGAAGGGGAAAATGATTCCATATTATCCTCCACTCTCTTCGACTTCGTCATGACACCCTTGTTCTCCTCCTTTTCACTGATGTCTTGCAAGGCCTTCAGTCGACGTTCACCATCCTCAAGTATCAGTTTCCTTAGGTAAACCTATCCAGACCAGAAAGCACCTAATTATAGATTAAGAGTTATGCGTCTGAATTCGAGTTTCGCGTGTACAGGCGGGCACTTCTACTGATTCAATACAAAGCGGGATACTAAATTGCAGCAGAGCGACGCATTTGAGGTGTATATGTCACCACGAAAGCCTTTTCATACTCAAGATTCAATCTCCGCGCCGGATACATGTAGCTATACACACGTCATGCACACCGCTAGTCAAGTCTATCAGCCCCACTGAACCTTTGCAAAACAGCGTCCTTCTGATTGGCATGCCGTCTTCAAAATGTTACAATCGGACAACTAGCCTGGAATTCGATCTCCTCCTGGCGGCGTTTTTCGTCCAGCTGCTCAAAACGCTTTCGTTTGGCCAGTCGAATGGACGCGGTAATGTCATCACCGAAGTTTTTGCGTATCTCCAAAGCCAGCGAGTGCGCAGTGGTGAGTTTTGCCACAGCCTCGTCATAATGACCCAGAGCCAAATGGCATTGACCCGCGAAAAAGAAAGCCTTCAGATTGCTTGGATCCAGCTCAAGAGCTCGTCTAGTACGATAATAAAAGAAGCGGTCCTTTTTGCCATTGCTTACCAAAAGAATAGGCCCACAGCCTAGTCAGGACCTATTCTTCATCTCATTGATTTCAGAAATATGCCTATCAGAGGACTTATCATCAACGAAACCATAAAACTTTGCCGATTACTAATAATCTTGAGTAGTCGAAAAGGTGTTGGGGGTTACAGTTAATACTTGAGATGCGGATGGACACCTGAAGTTACATATGAGAGCGGGTGGAGGAACAAAGGGTTAAATAATAGAGGAACAGAAGAATGACCAACTTACCGACAATCAGCAAGTGCCTGGTCGTAGAGTTTCATCTGCAGATAACAGAGCGCTCGGTTGGAGTAATAGGTAGAAATAGAGCCGTTCTTCTTAATGGCAAGGGTATAGCACTCAATAGCTCGCGTGTTGTCTGAAGCAGCGAGAAACCGATTACCACAGTCTTTGAGCGCTGAGTGCGACATCCGTGACAAATCCAACTGCAAGAGGACGTAGAATCCCACTAGTCACGACGCTACTCTATTAACGTACCGACGTAGTATAACAAATCAGAAAGGCATCTATACCCGTGAATATTTATTCATGTAGGGAGTCAGTGAAAGATCTGATAAACCGATGGTTGTACGAAGTGAGGTTGGGCATTTACGCCGCTGTTAGACCCATGCAAAAGTAGACGGCTTTTAGAGAAGGTGAGATCATCCACACTGCCCATTGAAGCGCAGAAATGGGTACGTGTGTAAAACCAGTCAAAAACTCTGATCAACTTTGAGGGTAGAGATATGAAGTAGCGGTATAGAACTTTGTACAAATATATGCGCCTGCTTTAAACTCAGTAGAGAAACTCTGTTTCATTAATCATTTGAGATAAAGTGTTCCACGCATTACGTGCATACTTAAAGACATATTAAGAAAGATTGAAGAGCCTTTATACAATACTCAACTTACAAATACATAAAGTAGTTAGTATCGACAAAACTCACGGGCTTCGATTTCTCCATTGGATGGATGTATTGAATCTAGAAATAGTTCATTCGCGAAATTTGTAATATGTTCCTGGATAATTCTTCAACTACGCCGAGAAAAACCGAGTCCGACCAAGCTCAACAACTACTCTACTCAAACAAACCGCGACAGTGTTGCAAAATAGAACAGGCAACTTCGCTAAAGCAAATCATAAAACATGACATTATGTCCCAGCACATGATTTGACTTCAGTCAAAGTCATCAGAAGAAAAATTGTTTTAAAAAATGAAACGATGCCAGCATTCATACCAGGGACGCTGGATGTTATCTCAAAACGTGTTCTGGCTTCTCGTTGATTTTTTTCGAGTTTAGACTACGAATGATTTCCAGAAACCATGGCATATATTTTGCGTGAACTAATCTGTAGACTTGCAAATCCGAAAACTACCACTTTGACCACCGCTATATACGTGTGCCCTTCAATCATCGTCCTATGTTAGAAAATCAATTGTTCCATTTTTTGCAACTAAGCATGACCCCAAACTGTGTGAAGTCGTATAGTGTCATGCCGGCTTAACAAAGGTTTTATCAATCTAGTTTTAGAGGGCTATTAGGCTTGTAGGCATGATTAAAGAACCATGCCAACATCTTGCTTAGCCTAAAGACTTCGCGTAGCCAATAATATAGCTAAGAATCACTGCGCCTTCACAATGTTCTTTGCAGTGCCAGGCCAATTACCAGGAATAACATGGATTTCCGTACTACAGCGACCATTTCATGGTAATTAACACTCCTACGTAGCGTTTCGAATCTTCTATGGACTCATAACAAGCCAAATTACTTTGGAAAATGTAATACCGACGTGCACAAGGGATGGAAAGCCGCTTACATGGCCTAAATCCTACGCCAAGGTGCGAAATTACCATTTGTGTTGACTGAATGCTACGCGTAGTTAGCAAAAAAGCTCTCTTTTCTTAGGGGTGTCATTACTTTGCTTTTTAAGCTACTCCCTTATTTGTTACTAGTTTGCGGTTCCAAACATGACTTTTCTTGCATTAAATCGTCCTTTAATTGGTTTGCTTTCCCTTACGTAATTGGGGCAACCATCGCTGCCCTTTTAGACGGTCTAATATCGTATTTTTTATTAAATCGTGCTGAGATTGCAGTGACTTCTTTTAGGAATAAATATTTTGATTCCCTCGCAAAAAAATTGTAATTTTTTCCTGAATGTCTATGATTTATAATACAATAACGCTACTATCCAAAAATTTAGCAGTTTAACGAGTCAGTTATTTATTTGTTATCTGCTGTATAATTGCTTCAGCAATTTTTCATTTCATTTAAATATGAGGAGACATGGGATTCAGCTTCACGTGTGCTTATCGCCTTTCCTCTTTCAAAGTCACTCTTCAAGTTTTTAACTTTTTAACGAGTGCGATCAACATGGTCAAAATATACCATTCAATGAAAAAGAAAATAAAAAACCCTTATGACCTATTCAACCCATAAATATGGTCTGAACTGGCCTCCACACCGATAAAATACTTCCACTTACAGTATTTTCAGTCCCTTACTTTTGCAGAACTAATGTAAATACTGAGAGGACACCTAGTTTCTGTCTTCTTACCAGCATCTTAGGCACTAGTTCTTACTAATTAGCGCCCTAACACTCGGGCAGAATACATGTATTCGGGGTACAGAAGGGCTTGAGACTACCGGCATGGGCCGGAGACCAGCATACCCGGTGGGGGTACAATGGCAAAGACTCAAGGTGGCATCTACTAAAATTGGAATTCAAACATCCAGCGCATTGCAACTGTTTAAATGGCTTTTAATAAACCTCACTTTGGTCTTAAATTTCCAGCAGGTAGTACTCATAACGTTTTGATTCGGCTACATGATCTTACAACATTTTCGTGACGCGTCCATGGCTAATGCTTGATTCCCCTTGTTCGCATGACTTTTATTCACGCCTATGACCGTGCGGTCGTCCTAAAAGACGTTACAAATGAACGAGGGCCGACATATTAATAAGCATTTTAACAAACACGGCTTAAATGAGTCCGGATACAACGCCTGAGGACGCTTTATCCTCAGATTTATTCAGCTGCACGCGTAATTTTCCTTTCATTTGATTAAAATGTCAATTTTTCGCAAGTATTTTATATCAAAGGTATTTCCTTGTAGTGTATGGCATTCAAGATATAATACCAACGGTATGTACCACTTCAAACAGATTTGAATAGCCAGGTATGGTTATGTGCGTGCGTAAAATGTCAAAAATAGCCCGTACGTTAGCATTTGTCAAAAAAAGTCAAGAGCTACCCTTTTGGTAGCGGATAACACTTGTAATAACTGTAGTTTATCTATGGTTCTATGTTATTTGCACAATAAATAGGTCTAAAGGAGCATAATTCGTCTTCAAAAGAGTCATACATGTACCAAAATAGTGTGTGACTCAAGTCTACTGAATGATTCGGTTGGTTGACTCTTTAATCGGTGTGACTTCGACGTGTTGTTGCTACGCCTTGTCCCTCGCGGTGTTTCATACACGACCATAAAGGCAAGAGTTGATTGCGTCATCGATGGTCCCTTCATCTTTCATGTCGTGGATGTCTTGTTTTTCTCCACCTCTCATTTCCTCTCACCCAGTTCCCTGCATAGCCCATTCCATGCATTTAGTTTTCTCCATTTCTTATCCTACTTTCCTTTTACCCTATTCTTTCATCCCTCTGCGTTTTTCTTGACATCATCCATCCAATTTCATCACCCAATCGTTTTCTATTCCTTTCCTTCGCCAACCCATCTTCAAGCTCGTCTAAATCTACCCCGGAAGTTGGATCTCTTACTGTCCCAAGGGTAATTACTTTGCCACATCACTAGGCAGGAGGGCTATATTTGTTCGATTTGCCTTTATATACAGTTAATTAGCACAGCATAGTGGCCTTTGTAAACACACGTCCAAAGCAATTGAGAATCCATCCATTCTGAAGACATCAAGTCACTTTAGGTAGATTTTAACAATCTTAGGTCAATAGTGAACGTTGCTCGAAATATGCATGTACATGGCCAAACTGACCTTGTGTAGCACAATGGTGATTTATCCCTCGGTATTGGTGAAGAACCACTTTTGACTTGATCTTTGCACCACGCCGAGTGGGCTGGCCTTTGGGCCATGCCAGTCGCTCGAATACCTTCTCTGTGCTGGGTATATATATTCTGCCTGAGTATTATGTCTTATTTCGTATTCAGGGAAGTCTCGGGATGCTGCACTTGAGTGCAAATGAGTAGCTAAACGTGCCTAATTTGGCAATAAGGAATGCGGTTGTTTAATAAAATGGTAAAAAACTCATAAAATGAAAAAAAAGTTTTAGTTTTAAATAGAAACGCATAAATAAGGCGAAACTGTCTTGTGTAGATGTAAATACAGGAGGGTTGCATTTTTCTGTGCGTAGGTAATGCACGTATTAGTTGGTACTTTGCCTCGTTGCAGCTTTAGATGAGGCCTGGAGTCTTGTAACTAGCAACAAAATTAAATTCCGCCTTATTCGCCAGAATGGGATCCTAAGTGAGAATGGTTTAAGAGCCATTCATATCTAATACTAAATTTATTAAAACGCGTTAAGCTACGACCTCTGCGTATGGTTTTGGAAAATTGAGTAGTAAATGTAGAATTAAACAATATTCCACAAACTCCGCGTGTTTAGTTAATCTGAAGACCTGGCTACCGACCTTGAAAACTTTCGAATTTGGGGGTTCTGGAGTATAAATTGCAGTTAGGATGTGGGGTTTTCCAGTCATATTTACAACTCGAAATCCACCATCAACCCTCTAGAAATGGCACCTAATGAGACTATTGAGCCTTCGTTCCATGAAATGGTTCAAATGTTCGCCAAAGAGGGCGTTCCTCACGTCCAAAAAAAACTACTGGCTGAGTTGCCTTTCAAAGGCTCACTAACCGAGAAAGAACACCACATCAGGGGCATTATGATGTCTATGGAACAATGTGATGATGTTTTGGAGTTCAATTTCCCCATTAAACTGGACAACGGTGAATTTGAGATGATTCAAGGATGGCGTGCACAACACTCTCATCACGTTAAACCATGCAAGGGGGGCATTCGCTTTGCTTCGGACGTCAATATGAACGAAGTCAAGGCTCTGGCTAGTCTGATGACCTATAAGTGCAGTGTCGTTGATGTGCCATATGGTGGCGCTAAGGCTGGTGTCAAGGTCGACCCCACGAGGTATTCGTTGGGCGAATTAGAAAGAATCTGCCGTCGATTTGCACTTGAGTTGGCAAAGAAGAACTTCATTGGTCCCACCACTGATGTTCCCGCTCCTGATGTCGGCACAGGCGAGAAGGAGATGGCGTGGATCGCCGACACCTATGCTAATACCGTTGGACTTGGGGACATCAATGCCCTGAGTTGTGTCACTGGAAAGCCTGTTCAGTATGGAGGTGTAGAAGGTCGTAGTGCCGCGACTGGTCTTGTGAGTACTATTTTATTTATTCCTCCTTACTTCGGTAGAAAGTGGAAAATACCTTCACCTGTCTGTCCAAATGTAGGGCCTTTTCTTTGGCGTGAGTAACTTCCTGAACTCGGAGAAGAACTGCAAGGCTTGTGGTCTTGACAAGCCAGGTATTGCTGGCAAAACGATAATAATTCAGGGCTTTGGTAATGTTGGGTCCTACGCCTTCCGATTCCTTCAGGAAGGTGGTGCTAAAATTATTGGCCTGATTGAAATTGATACTGCTCTCTACGATGCTACCGGATTGGACTTCAAGGAGCTCATTGAATACAGAAATGTACGATCTCCTGAATTTATTTTTCGAGATTTTTTAACTTGTTTTGTGATTACTTCCCAAAACTGACTGGATTTTCCTTCTTTTCCCAAGGCTCATGGTGGCGTAAAAGGATTTCCTGGTGCCAAGGAGGTTGATCGGAAGGAGCTAATGTACCACGAGTGCGACGTCCTCATTTGCGCTGCTCTGCAGAAGCAAATCACCGCTGAGAATGTGGACAAAATCAAAGCAAAGGTCATTGCTGAGGGGGCTAATGGTCCCACTACCTTCTACGCCCACAAGCAACTCCTTAAACGCAATATTATGGTCATTCCTGATCTTTACTTGAACAGTGGTGGTGTTACTGTGTCGTACTTTGAGTGGCTGAAGAATTTAAATCACGTCAGCTTTGGACGTCTTAATTTTAAGTACGAGAAAGAGAACGCTATGTGTCTTCTACGTAAGTATCACCTCTGTGTATCTGCCTGTGTAGATCCACAGACTGGGTTATTGTGTAACATTTTTTATTCTCTCTTAGGTAACATTGAATTGGACCTTGGAAAGCCGGTGAAGCTGTCTAAGGAACTGTCTGATCGCATGAAAAATGCCTCGGAATTGGATATTGTCAACTCGGGTCTTGAGTATACCATGGAACGTGCGGCCAATCAGATCATGGAAGTTGCTGAGCGCTATAACCTGGGTCTGGACTTCCGTACTGCTGCCTATATTTTGGCTGTGGAGAAGATATTTTACGCGCTCCACCTTTCCGGCAACATCTTCTAGTAGAATAACTGACACCCACTGTAGTTTATGCCATGTGTGTGCGGAATTGTAAAAAATTAGTCCTCTTTGATAACTAAAGCCCGTTTGATTTTCACTATAATTCTCTTGTGTTCTCGAGTTTTCCTGGGCTTCAGCGGCATTCGGTTAGACCATTCAAGTACTAATTACCTTCCAGAAGAAATATGTCTTCGACAAGAAAGTGTTCAAACTTGTCCTGGTTTTATGTCTATGACATTCCTGGTTTACCACCTGATCTTGATAAACTGCGCTTTCAAATATACTTGAATTATAAACATTTGGCAAGACATCATTATGCAAATTCAAATAAAGATCTGCTTCATTGGTCCTTCAAGGTTTAATGCCATCACTGAAAACAAGAACTCGTTGGTCATGCATCCAATTTATCTTTCTTGCAAAATGTTTCCTTTTTGCCAAAAGAAGTACACAGAGACTCATACTATTTACCTTATAAAACTCCGCCCTTGTATCCATTACAAATGAAGGTAATTAAAGATCCAGCAGAACCCTATGCTGTGTTATTGTAGTCCGCATGAAGTAGACATTCTGATTAGTGAACAGTTCTGTTTAAACTTGTCCTATTTTCCATTTTGCTTACTTCGCTGACCCAGATCATTGTGAGCAATCGCACCTATCCCCATGCGCATGACTGTAGGATGTTTAGCCAAAATCGCTTTCAAGTCAGTCGTCCTGGGGCCAGGTTGCTAGTAAACGAAATGCTTTCAGCTGAGAAGGCAGTAAGAATCAAAGGTCTCGCAGAGTGCTGAAATCGGTATGGCAGACTCCTATGAGTTCGCGTTCCATTCAGAGTGCATCACTGCCCTTTGTCAAAGGAGTGTGAACGCGAGGTTTACTTAAGTCAATTTAAGTATGACATCTTACTCCCGAGCAAAATGGTCGATTCCTGACTGTAGTCTAGGTGATTTGACAAAACAGGAGCATTATGTATATCATCCAAAAGGTAGTATTAATAACCCCTTTAATAGTTTCGATTTTGTCGGTGGTGGAAATTCAATGCCTTTTTGCACTCCAAGTATGTCACGGAAATAGTCATCGAGGCTACAAGAGTTGACGATGACGCTGGTGAACTTTACATGATTCGGGACCTTTTTGCATTAACTCAAGAGTAGATGGATTGGGACTTTACGCTCCAAGTTACGGATATCTCTCATTTAGGTTTCACCTGTTGGAGCCTTAATTTACCAAGCGTGTATGCCCCACTGCGGCTGATCTCTATGCCAAATTTGAAATGATGACAACAGTAAGTGGAACCCATCCAACGTTGTGAATTGTTTTTGGTCATTGGAACGTGTTTGATTCCGCGCTCACGATGAATTCACAACGAGTGGATGATTGTACAGAAAAGACGTTGTCCGGCCAACCTTTTTATACGAAAGTGGTTTACCTTCTCTTCATCATTTCCAATTTGTAGTATTATTCCTTTGTAAGATGTGGTTGAATGGAAGTAACATTTTCTCAGCATTCAGTCGCTATTTTGATTTACATCCTCTTCTCCGCATGTGAATGCGCCTGTGCAATGACGGAATAGTTGATGAAATTTAGACTTAAATCAGTTCCCCAGAAAACATACTGCTACCGGGAGAGATGGTACAAGAAGCCAAGGCTTCCTGAAATACAATAACAGTAATATCTCAGGACTAGACCAGCATATAAATGTGACGAATTTGTGGAGTTATGGTGGAAGTTGGTTGAAGGGCACCAATGCATTAAACTTCGCCAGTAAAGTAACCTTTTCCTTTGAAGTAGTCTAAACTATTTAAAGAATACAAGTAAGTTAAACTTCAGCAATGAGCTGACTTTTCGTCGAAATGGTCGCATATTTTTGGTGTGGTAAACGCCAACATTCAACATGGTGCAATAAATCAAGTAGGAGGCGTCAATTTGCGACATTCATCAGCGTCACTTTGGGTGGGATGCCTATTACTCGCCTTTTGAAAGCTTAGTACAGTCGTTTAGGTAAACTCTATTAAGAAAAAAATGGTAAAGTAGTCACCCTGGACTAAAATTTAAAGAAATTTCAGCAATGGGTGAAAGCATAATAGATGTCCCCAAAGTAGTAGCAGGTAGAATTTCATCTGCCGTCAGTGGCATCTCAGGCGTGGCGTTTTGCTTGAGACCAAGGACATATGCCCTTTCGCATCTCAGCTCGGTCGCCTAACCGAACAGAAAGGGCGGGGCTCCGCTGTTTCATTTGCGGGGCAGGGCCTACTGACGAAGTACCGCCGGGTGTTACCGAACTGCCGCAACGGTACCACCCATAGCAAATCCGCTGCAGCGTCTCATTACGCCCAGACGCATAAACAAAGCATGATTTCTTTGGTTTTTTGTCCCTGATTGTCTCCACTTGACTCTCTCGTGGGTAATACATTGGGCCATAAACGGTTCGATGGTATAAATAAAACCTTTGGTTAAATTTGCTGATAGTCCCACCATCTAAAACAAAGCACAGTCTAAGATTTAGCGAACTAGCTCATCTAAAATGCAGTATTCAGAAATTCCATCAATATAAGCCATTTTGATGCCGCTTTTGCCCCTCCCCAAACCCCCGGTATCAGTCGGCATCTTAGCCTTCGCAATAATTGAGATCTAAGGCTTGAGGTTAATTTGTGAAGTAAATCTAATTATAATAAGCTAAAATGATCAAAAGAAGTGCTCCACCTTGAGTAAATGTAAGCATTACAGTGTTATCACATGGCTCAATGAAACTGGGGCTTAAAAGCAAAAATGTTTTAAAAAAGTTCAAAAATACCATAAACTGATGAGTCACGCTGTTTGTACATGTTTGTTTGACTGTTTATTTTGGCCGAGAAGAGGTCAATAAATAGGAATCTCGTGACGGAAGGGGAAAAATGTTCTTTGAACACGCTGAACCAATGTTTCTCTTTACCCCCTCATCCATCAAAGTTTGGAAGTTGATAAATACGAATGCCAAGCACCCACTGCAACTTGTTGAGTGGCGGAATTCACCACGTCCCAGAAGGTAGCAGGCAAAACATTCAGACCAAAAACCATTGTAGCCAAAGGTTTCAGATATGATGTTTGGCATAATTAAATCTCTCAAAGCACCAACAAGTGAAAATCTGCAGCTGGGCATCTTTCAAGTCAAGCTCAGAAATGATTTGCGAACCTTGGCATTGGTCTAGGGTAGCTTCTAGCACAAATGTGACATTAATACTTTTTATTAAGAACTTTTTGGAAGTAATGCAACAGCCATAGCAAATCTTAGGCGTCTAGTCATCACTTTGAAGAAGATTTCCAAAGGCGCTGCTCAGGCTGATGACTGAGCGGCTTTCTCTATTAAATGCTCCAGTGCTTTCCTAACAGGTCTATGCAACTACTACAAAATAATTCGACTTTTCATGAGTACTGAAGAGTTTTTCAGCTCAAGTAACATGGGGTTAACCTTCATCCTATTGGATATCTTAGAGAAACGACGCAATTGGGTAATTTGGACGGTAGTTCACCAGAAACTGGGGAGTCTAAAAGGTTAAAAGCTTTGTACACGTCAAAGCAATAATCAAGGGACCCTAATCAATGGCTAAAAACTGACATTTGATGGGTTTGAGAGGAGAACCTGCAAAAAGTTGGAGAGCGCCCAAATTCGTCAATGTCCTGTAATATCTCATCGGCGCATCAAAGGGTCTTCCAGCTACACTGTTTAAGAAAATCAAGGAGAATTAAATAATCACCATTTCCCATGTCAATAGTGAAAGTGTTAACACATTCTGCTTGTCAGATAAGTTAGTGTAATGTAGTCTGACTGACAGGCAGAATTAGCAGTAGGTCAAAAGCAATGAAATTTACGGCTTAGTAATTTTACTTAAGCAGGTATTTGCTTCAAACAGGTCTCTGGAGTTGAAGCGAAAGAACTGGCTGTGTCATAGTTTATTGAAGTGAGAACATTGGGTATTTCAAAGCCGACAGGTCAAATACGAATACCTTGAGATGCATGATCTACTATCTTGGTGTCACTCGACGCTGTATTACGCTCTACTATAACTTCAAATTCCCTCTTCCTTTGCCAAAACAATCTCTTTAAGTGGAGTAAAATGTGCATCAGAAGAGCGCTACACTTGACATGAAATGACTAAAAATGCTTGCGACTTTACAGGAAGAAGTTTGCTTACAAACTTTATGCAATGCTAACCACAGTTGTTACTAGATAGTAGGTGGGGAATAGGTGGAGTTCATATGGGAATGCACGCTGTCTCCACTTTAAGGTGCTAAAACCTACGCAATTCCCACAAGAACTCGAGTCTGGTGTCCAATCATAAAAAGAGCTGATTGGCATGCCCCTGAGGAGGTTTCATGTGTTTGACTTTGATTACTTTATTAATTGGACAACTTGATACTTGGCTATCTGAGATACATGACACGTCTCCATTTCACTTTACCATCCAAGATACAAAGAGTCCCATCACACAATGTCGCGAAAGCAACAAAGGTTCCTGTTATTGCTATTCACTTTGCAGAAAGTAAATGAGAGGACCAAAGCTAAATAGGTCGGGTTGTGAAACATTGGTCCCTTCCGGATGGAGAAGTGTCCCTCTATGACGTGACTAGTAGGCACAGCACACTTCAGTTCCTTGTTGTATCCCATTCGGACAGGTGTTTTTGGCGCAGATAAAGAGTCGAGTTTAAGCCAAGTAATACCAACGATCTGAATGTAGTCATGACGAAAAGTAATGCGGATATCTCAAAATACGTGAGAAAATGAATGACAAGTTTGAAGTGAATTACGCAGTTCTGAAGTAAATAGGACTCTGTGTACCCGTCAAATTAAGATGCTAGATATTTGAAGGGATTTGCGAGAGAGCTTTAAGGCATTCTCTACCTCTGTGACGTAGAGACGAACGGCATTTATACTCTAATTTTCAAGTTTAAGTAGAAATTTTCAGTAAAATAGCTGCATTAGATTGTGATATTAATGGACAGAAAAAATTGTTAAACGCATACAGTCC